AGAAACCAATTCAATTTAGCCAACTCCTCTTTTTCGTTTGCCCATATTCTTTGCTCTTTGCATGTTTCTATCGCTTCTGCCAGTAGGGACTTGCTTGTGCCCGGCCATTGCCAGTCTATAAAGCCACAATTTTGCGCTAGCCAGTGTACGTTAATAAGCCGTTAAATTGCCTAATTGCCGATTATGATTCCCGACCCAACGATAAGGCAAAGGCATAAGCGGGCGAGCACCCATGCAGCCAGATACGGCACCAAGTGCACATATTTTACATGCCCGTGCACTCCGAATATGCGCCTAGCCCACTTTGGCCAGAACTCCAGTTAAGTAAGTTTAATGCTGCCTCCCTACGTTGGGCGCCAAACGTTTTGCAGTACTTTAAGCTGCAATGCAAGGAATGCAATAACCGAACGGCAACAACAACAAGCATAAACAAGTAAGAGGTTCTAGTCGGCAGTTCCCAACTAGGGGATACCCTGAACCCTCTTCTTCCGACAGGCGATAGGTATAAAATGAAAAATGCTTGATATATATATACTATTCCAGAAGCTACATGTCAAGTTTGACGACTCTAGCTCTATAACAGGACTTGGTTATCGATTTTTATCGATTACTTGGAAACAGGGCAAGTTATCGACTATCTATCTATCTGCGCAGGTACTAGGAGGACCTACAGCTAAAAGTTCAAGTCTCTAGCTCTTATAGGCTCTGAGATCCTTGCTTTCATACATACGGACAGACGGACGGATGGACATGGCTAAATCGACTCGGCTATTGATGCTGATCAAGAATATATACACTTTATGGGGTCGGAGATGCTTCCTTCTGCCTGTTACATACATTTGCACAAATACATAATACTCTTTTGACCCATTTTCAATGGTTTCAGGGTATAAAAATGGGAATCCTCGGCACGCCGAAGATTAATTCCCTTACAGATATATAGTACGGGTTTTCAGATGTGTGAGAAGATTTGTTGAAACTCGTAATTGCAACGGAATGTTACTATGTTATCTACATATATATGATATAATTATTCTATTTTGTCGATTCCGATGCGTTACACACTTCATAGCAATATTATAATACTCTCGGCAAGGGTATGAAGACGGCAACAATAGTTACAAGCAAAGCAGCTTTATGGATTTTTGAGAATGTTTGAGTTTTTTTATTTAGATACCCTTACCTAGTTATAGCAGGGTATATTGGGCTAGAGTGCAGCGTGTAAGAAGATAAAGTTAGCTCGTCTATAATCTTTAATACATCTATATGTATGAAAAGCCAGCAAGTTAACCAGCCCTTGCGTACAAAGAACTCAATTAATTTTTTATGGTTCGCATATTTTATATTCGTTCAGCTCTATTTAATTTCACTTCCTTCTTTTCGCCCCGCTCGCCCTTGCCTCTGGCAAGCAGCCAAATTGTGCTGTTTGACGTAGGCGGTTGCCAGCTGGGGGCGTGACAGCTCACAGCAGGCGAACCACTGGCAGAGGTCTTCATTGCTCTCAAATTTTGGCGTTGAAAATGCGCTGCATAAATTGCAAGAACAATTCGCAACGTGGAACACAACACAGGGCGAGCAAAACGGCAGGACATGGACATGAAGCCACAGACTCCAACTGCAAATTGGCCCCGCGGCTGCCAGTGCAATTAAATTTCATTTTATAAAACTGTTGTGAAGCTGCACTGCGTGTGCAATTAGCACATCGTCCCGGTCCAAAGGCAACTAGAAACACAAAAAAAAAAAAAACGAGAAAGAAGTGCTATCTTCGGCACACCGAAGATTTAATACCCTTGCAGACCCAACCTTTTCAAAATGCTCATAGTGCTTTGCCCGTATCTAAGAAGCACAGGGAAAATAGTTAATGCCGAGTATGGTTAAGATATCTTGAAAAACAAAACAGGTTTCCATACAACAACTTAATTTTCGACCGATCGTTCCTATGGCAGCTATATGATATAGTTGCCCGATGTGAATAAGATTTTGCATAAGTGGAGGGAGCATAGTAAAACTAATAAATGCCGAGTTTGGTCAAGATATCTTGAAAAACAAAAAAATTCCATACAACAGCATAATTTTCGACTGATCGTTCCTATGGCAGCTATATGATATAGTTGTCCGATCTTAATAGAATTTTGTATATATATGGGGACCGTAGTAAAACTAATAAATACCGAGTTTGGTTAAGATATCTTGAAACACATAAAAATTTTCTATACAAAAACTTAATTTTCGACCGATCGTTCCTATGGCAGCTATATGATATAGTTGCCCGATCTTAATAGGATTTTGCATATATATGGGGAGCGTAGTAAAACTAATAAATACAAAGTTTAGTCAAGATAACTTTATAAACAAAAATGTTTTTCATACAAGAACCTACTTTTCGACCGATCGTTCCTATGGCAGCTATATGATATAGTGGTCCGATCCAGCTGGTTTTGACATATGAGCTGCGTGCAACAGAAAGAGGGAATTCTGCAAAGTTTCATAAAGATAGCTTTAAAACTGAGAGACTAGTTCGCATAGAAACAGACAGACGGACAGACGGACATGGCTATATCAACTCGGCTGTTGATACTGATCAAGAATATATATACTTTATGGGGTCGGAGATGTCTCCTTCTATGCGTTACACATTTCACGACAAAATTATAATACCCTCTGCAAGGGTATAAAAAACAAGACATAAAAGCGTCAAATGTTGTCCTACCATCGACATCAAAGAGGCGGAGGCGTTGCAGACTGTATGGCGCCCGAACGGGGACACATTAGGGTTGACATACCCTACGGGTTGGCCCGGACTTTTGTGGCGCTTTGTTCGGTCTAGCTAGATTTGCATCCACACAAAAATTAGTCTCTCTGGCTTGAGCTGGAGGCTGTGCCTGCCCAGAGCCACATTTTTTGGCACACGCCAGTGATAAGTTTCATGTTGGCATTGAAGTGCTAGCCAACTGGGTCAACAATCGAAATTTCGCTTGATGTTAGCTAATATGCGCCTTGTTATCTTCAAGTTGTGAACCATTAGAGCTTGGCAGAGGTAGACTTTGGCTAACTGATGATAATACTCGTTGATTGCCCCGCATTTGCCTAATTTGAATGCTCGAAATGTTAAACAACAAGTTGACTATGATTGCTAATTGCTATATAACTTCATGGTAAAATGTTAAATGCTATGAAACGCATGCTAAGAGTTGAATCTTAGTTTTTGCCATTTGTTGTCTCCGGCAAATAAATTACAAAACATGTAAGAGCTTCTAGTCGGGAGCTCCCAACTAGGGGATACCCTGAACCCTCTTCTTCCAACAGGCGGTAGGTATAAAATGAAAGATACTGGATCTATATATACTACTCTAGAAGCTACTTGTCAAGTTTGGCGACTCTAGCTCTTATTATTTACCGAAATTGCCCAAAAAAACAGGATTTATCGATAACTTGGAAACGGGGCAAGTTGTCGCATATCGGAAACAAACTCGATCTGCACGGGGACTAGGAGGACCTATAGCTAAAATTTCAAGTCTCTAGCTCCTATAGGTTCTGAGATCCTTGCGTTTATACATACGGACGGACAGACGGACATGGCTAGATCGACTCGGCTATTGATGCTGATCAAGAATATATATAATAGCCCTTTTACCCATTTTCAATGGGTTCAGGGTATAAAAAAATATATATAACGCAACACTAAAAAAAAAGAAATAAGTTTTGTTAAATTTCTAAATATTGTTGCATTAACTTTCAAACTCAAAGTTATAACAGCTGCAGCATAGAATGGCTACGCAATTTGTTTGTGAAAATATAACACATAGAGTAATTATTATTTTTAAAATATGCGAAGCGCTTTTAAGTACTCGAGCTGATAGCTTTTCAGGCAATTGTAATTGCAATTGTACTTTTAAAGTAATTCAGATAAAAGCTAACTAGACGGAACCACTTGATGCACACGCTCTCGACTATTAGACAATGAAAAGCAAACAGCATTCGCTTCGATGATGCTCCCCAAATGCTAGAATTGCGCTCGAGTGTTATTATAGTGGTACAAAAAAGGATGGCACAAAAAAAGTTGTGCGCTTCAGCTTAGCTCGAGCAGCATTAACTATGGAAAACTCAATTCAATTTCCGGCAGACAGCTGCATGCTGTTCCACTTCCAGTTGAACACATACATTTGCCGGCTGTCAAAGTCGCGTCGGGTCATGGCATCTTTTCTCTTTACCAGCTGCATAATGGGTCATGCATACCTATATATGTATGTATATCGGTGTGAGAGTATTATATCTTTGTTTTTTTTCCTGACTGACTTCTTTTGTTACCAACGGAACGACGAATCGGCGCCTCCTGATGGAAATGGGGTCAACGATTTCGTGGGTGAAGTTTCGGTTTATAATTCATATCGAAGAAGCTTTATCAAAATTCATGTGAAACGCGTCGCACACTTTTTGCATAATTCCCACGCGCTTTTATGAAAAATGTGGGTCATAAATGATTTGGGCGAAGTTTTAAGTTTCGACGAAAATGGTTGGAAAATTGTTAAATTAAATTTAAATCGGGCAAGGTCGAGAAATACCGGTTGGTATATCTCTATATGTGTATATATAGGGCATAATTTTTTTCTCCATTTAAACGAGCTGCCAGTTTTGCCAACAATTTAAACGTGCCGCCATCGAACGACTGCCAGACGGGCAGCAGCTAAAGCAAACACCTCACATATGTATGCACACACACATAGCCACACACATACACATTTGCACATTTGCACACTCAGCGCACACAAAACAAGCCAGCATCAACAACTCTTAACCTCAATGAGCCTCCGCAACGTGGCGTATGAGTAACGCAGCTGTTGTTGAAAAAATGTTATAGCCCAACCTACGGGGGCTACTTGTTGGTTCCTCAAATATTTATAAAAAGCAAAGGGCAGCCTTTTGTTTCTGTTGCTATTGCTGCAGCTACTTTGCCACTCGAAAATATAGCGCTTACCCCCTTTTATTGCTGCCCCTTGCAGATGCACTCAAATTTGCTGATATTTATTTGGCGCCGTAAACTTTCATTTCTGGTGCTGGCGTCGGGTCTTGTCTTGCTTGGACTCTGGACATGGGCCATACTTATTGATAGTACGAAAACACTGCCAGCATTTACACAGCAGACATCGCAGTCCGGCGAGGCCAATTATCAGCACGTTCACATCATACAGAAGTTGATTGCCCAAGCGAATCGTGTGCTGCGCGCCGAGCGACAAAAGGATAACGCGGAGCGGCCATCGCCGGCACAGCGTTTGCTGGGCAACGTGCGCTTTGTGCGTCCGACACAGGCCAAGAAGGCGCCGCTGCCGTTGGCCGAGAGCTATCTGTTTGAGCAGGAACGCCTGAAGATCCTAGAGCAACAGCAGCGCCAGCGCAACGCAGGCATGGACGAGCTCAATGCCAATGCCGAGGATGATCGCATGCTCAGCTCTGCGGAGCGTCAGACCCAATACGAGCACGAATTGCAACGCATGGGCGTACCAGCTGTCGCTGGCATTGGCCCGGATGGACCACGTGCTCCACAAGAGCGACTGGTCCACCTCGATCTTAAGGGCGCACCACCCAAGCTGAGCTTTCTCAAGCAACTCTTGCCCGTGCTGCGCGCCCTGGGCGCCACGGGGCTGCTTATCGAGTACGAGGATATGTTTCCCTACACCGGCGCGCTGCAGCCCCTTGCTGCTCACAATGCCTACAAGGAAGCCGAACTGAAAGTAATTTACAAATTTACATATTTATTTATTTTGCATTATTTCGTTCATATGGTGATCATCAAGAAGTTATGATTATACCTATTATAACGTTCGATTCCGTTTTGAGTCCTGCATGTTGGTCAATATCATTTAAACACTTTTTGAAATTGGAAAAACTTAATCTCATTAGTCAAAACTTAATGTACACTGCTTTTTGTTTTTTCGCAAACCACCTTTTGGCATTTATCAACACTAGGCGTAAACCCCTTTGAAACAGCTTTCTTTTTTGTTTTTTCAAAGGATTTTCTGGAAACGGCTTGGGTCGAGTATGGCCTGAGCGTGATGCCGCTGGTCCAAACTTTTGGGCATCTGGAGTACGCACTGAAGTTGTCCGGATTTGAGCAGCTGCGCGAGCTGCCCGAGAGTCCGCAGTCAATTTGTCCCAGTCAACCGCAGAGTCTGGCCTTGCTGGAGCAGATGCTCACCCAGGTGATTGAGCTGCATATGCGGCCCTCTGGCAATGCCACGCCCTCGACACCGGAGCTGCCCATCAAGTTTACCCATTTGCACATTGGCTGTGATGAGGTGCAGCGCATGGGCGAGTGCCCGCTCTGTCGCCAGCGACTGCGAAGCGAACTCTTCCTTTCGCATGTGATTAGCTTGGCGCATTTTGTGCGGCGTCGCTGGCCGCAACTGAGCGTGGTCATCTGGGATGACCAGCTGCGTGACATGACGCTGAGCGAGCTGCAGAACTCGCAGATCGGCAGCTATGTGGAGCCCATGGTGTGGGTGTATGCCAGCGATATATATCATTTCATACAGCCACAGCTGTGGGACACCTATTCGAAGGTATTTCCCAGCGCTTGGGCTGCGTCCGCTTACAAGGGTGCGTTTGGGGAGAGTCTGCTGGTGCCCCCGCTGCAACAGCACCTGGAGAACAATATACGCTGGCTGGCGGTCATAGCTAAGGAGGGTGGGCGCTTTGCCAAGGGCTTGAGGGGGCTGGCGCTGACTGGCTGGCAGCGCTATGATCATTTTGCCGTGCTCTGTGAGCTGCTGCCCGTCGGCATGCCCAGCCTAATGACATCTTTGTCCACAGTGTCCAAGGGTTACTTCAGCACCAATCCACGTGACAACGAGCTGTTGCGTGTGCTGCGCTGCGTCTTCCAGCCGGATAGCCGGCGCTCTGGACATCCCTGGCTGGAATTGCATTCCAATGCGCATTACAGTCAACTATTCGCTGTGTGCAGCTATCCGGGCCACCTGGTCTTCAAGTATGCGCTGCGCTTGTACGACAAACTGGCCGAGGTGCGCAACTATCTGCAACAGACACGGGAGCACAGTGCCTGGCTCTCCGACTACAATGTCAGACACAACTTTAGCTCGCCCCTGCGAGTGCAGGAGCTGACGGCGCGCACACCCCAACTAATTGAGGAGCTGCGCGCTATGGCACGCGAGTCCCAACAGCTCTTGTGGGAAGTGTACGATGAGCATACGGTAGCAGAATTTGTGGAGCAGCACATTTATCCCAGCATCAATGCGCTGCAACAACAGCTGGCTAATGGACAAACGCTGTTGCAGAGACGCACCTGGCCGCAACGGCCGCTGCCGCTTACCATGGAGCTGCAGCAGGATATGGGGCTTCTTACCACGTTGGATCAACAGCAGCAGCAGCAGCAACATTAAGCACAACACTGAATGAATTATAACTGATTGTTAACAGTTGGGAGCACACATACATATTTTGTAGTCAAGGCGTTCCAAACGCCCTAAGCCAATGATTAATAACAAATGTTATCACCGCTGCGGCATTTCTCGATAGCAACTCGTAGTTAACATCAAATGTTCATTCTGCCAATATGTCACTTTATAAGCTCAATTAATCATACATACACCATATTAACTTTACTACCATAAATCAAAATAAATTTTGCATATATGCTAAATATACAATGTAACGTATTTTTCAAATACCAATTTGTGCGCCATAAATGCAATGGAGGCTAAGCTTCCGGGCCAGGGTTGCCAGCCTGGCGCAGCACAAAGGACTTGACTTAGTTTTGGTATTTTAGCAGTGACATGCGTATTTTCGACAAAAAGGACGAGATATGGCGATGTGGAAAAACATGTGTTGGCGCAAAATCGATGAATAAACGCCAAAAGTAAATGTGACGAGGCTTTTTATATACGAAAGTGCTGAGTGACAAAACCAAAGTTAATAATTAATAATTACTAATTGAAAAATAGCAAAAAGAATAAAACGTGGTTTCTACCTTTTATTTTCACGGCGGCTCCATAGTTGTACATCTTTATATAATAAATATCGGGCAAAAAATGGGCATTCCAGAAACGCCGAAAACAGCAGCAACAACAACAACAACGACGACAGGCACAGAAGCGGCTAATGAAAGCAAAAACGCTCTGACGTTATGCACGTTTCAGGAGATTTTCAAACATGTAGAGCCGGAAGTGCAAATCGAGGCGTTCGAGGTGGGTGTGCATGCGTGTGTGTGTGTGTATAAATGAAAACAATTTCTGTGCATTTATCCTTTGATAGCTAGCGCAGGGCTCTGACCGCGGCGATAACTATACGGCAGCACTGTATCGCATCTGCCTGAGTGGGAAACGCCAAAAACTAGATGGCAGCACACATAAGTGGGAGCAGAACGTTATATGCAAGGTGTTGCCAGAGAGCGTGGTCCAAAGAGAAGCCTATAAAAGCGACAAGCTTTTTCGGTTGGTTGAACTATCTTTTAATATTATATATTATATATATATAATGCATTATTTGTATGATACTTTTCAGCAACGAGGTGGAATTCTATACCACAATAATGCCAGAGCTGGTTAAGTTTCAGGCCAGCAAAACGGGCTTGGAGGCGCAATTGTTTAATTCCATACCAAAATGCTATACAGCTAGGCATGATTTGCTCATAATGGGTAAATATGTGTACACACTTAAGTTCTCGGAATTTTAATTGAATTATTTTTTTATTCTGTAGAGGACCTGCGCGTTCGCGGCTTTGAGATGTCGGATCGACACAAGGGCCTCAGCATGGAGGAGACGCAATCGGTTCTGCTGCAGGTGGCTCAGCTGCATGCGCTCAGTTTAGCCTACAAGTTTGAGCATCCGCTGGAGTTCACAAAAATGTGCAGCACCATCAGTGAGGGCATATTCTGCACAGCCAACACCAGTTGGTACAAAAACTATTACGAACGTCTGACAAAGAACGCCATTAAAATGGTATCCGATGTGCTGCCCGCGGACTCCAAGTATATGCAAGCGATGCGTAGCTTTGCGGAAAGCTCTTCCTTCTTCGGACAGATGGTGGAGCTGGCCAGCGCCGAATCGCCCTTGTCGGCCATTTGCCATGGCGATTGTTGGGTTAACAATTTTCTGTATCGTTACGACCCGGAGGATCGACGACGCGTGTTGGAAGTGGCGCTGATTGACTTTCAGCTGGTACGCTATAGTTCCATAGCATTGGACATAGCCAATCTCCTGTACTGCTGCACCACCAAGCAAATGCGAGACGCTCAACTGAAGCCGCTGCTCAAAGTTTACACAGAGGAGCTGTACAAATGGTTGGAGGTGCTGTGCAACGTTTTGCCAGAGCAATGCAATACACTGGAAAAGTTTCAGGAACTGTAAGGCGAGGATTGAGAGCTAACAGGCAGCTAAATAAATTATTTCACTTTTACAGCTTTGCCCAGGAACTGAAAACCTATGGACGGTTTGCTCTTGGTCTGGCTATGGACATTTTACCCATAAGTACGTGCTCATCGGAGGATGCACCTGATATGTATTTGAATCGCAATGATGACCTCGATGGGGATGTAGGCGCGCCCACTTTAAACTTTCCGCCCAACGACTTGTGTCGACAGAAGATGTCCGAAATAGTGATTGACATGGTCGACAGTGACATGCTCTAGAGGGTGGCCAGGGCACAACTGGAAACCCGATTAGATCTAGTCTATTCCACATAAGTTGATTTTTAGTTATGCTCAGTTTGTAGTATTTATTTTGAACGTATAGCCTATTTAACAAAATGTAATTTAGGTTAATTAACAACGTTTATGCCAACAAGGTTAAGGTAAGCCTAGTATTAAAATACTTGCTAGTATTAAAATACTTCTATGTTACGTTACGTTTCTCTAGCAGCCAAATTAACAACGTTGCAATCTCTTACGATTGTAATGAAAATTTCGAAATGTGAATTGTATGCATAAAATAATCTAGGTATATTTAAACACAGACAATAGAAAACTTGTCGAGGCATACGCGTTTTCTATAGTAATTTGTTTATACAAAGCAATAAATTACAATCGAACTTAATAGCTAGATTAACTAATAGTCCGCCTTGGCCGTCCAGGTAGCCTTGCTGCCCAGCACGCCCTTGTCGCAACTCTCGCGCAGAAATCTAAGACCCGCCTCAATGGAGCGTTCAAGTTCAGCTTGTGATTTCGCACGCTTGGCTGTTGGCGGCCCGCTAAAACCCTCTTCGAGACAAGCAGGTGGAGGTATGGCGGTGCCCTGATGCTGGGCGTGCATGGAGCTGCTTGCTGATGCTTCTTCATCATCGATATCGTCACTGGCTTTTGTGTAGTTTCGGCGCTGGAATTGCTTTTCGCGTTTAGTGGAATGGTAGCTGTTGAACTCCTGTTCACTGCTGGACAACATGGGAACTGGTGGTGGCATGCTGCTAAAGTTGATGCGCTTTGGCATCGGCGCCATTTCTGGCATGGGCGCGAATTCAGGGGCACGTACGGCGCGCTGCTGTTCGTTCCACTGCTCCTGGGACATTGGCAGCCTTTCGGGCTTGTATTGCCATTCCTCTGGTACTGGCTGCTCATCATCGGACTTTTTAGCCACACCGCTCTTGTCTCTATCCCAGTCACGTATATGGTCCTTGCGCAGCTCCTCGCGTTCGGCCTCCTCTGCTGCCTTTTGCGCCGCCAGTGCTTGTTCCTTTTCAGTTTTCTCGCGCTCGCGTTCTGTTACCTCGAGTTTAGCCTCGGCCGCCTTGAGCTGTTGCTCGCGCTCGTACTCCTCTTTGCTGATGAGCGGCAGACCATTGCGTGCTCTAATCCGATTTTTGGCAGCCAGCACGCGATCCGCAACGATTTTATCGCGCTCGGCACGCAATTCGTCACGTCGCTTTTGCTCCGCCTGCGTGGCCTTACGCGCCTGCTCCAGCTCGCGTTGTTGCTGCTTTCGCTCGGCCTCATCCGTGGAGAAGGCATAGTAGCCCACGCCATGTGTGCGCGCCTCATCGAAGAACACATCCTGATAATGTACATCTGGCTTTTCTACATTCTCTAGCTCCTTGCGCTCCCAGGTGACGCGCTGCTCATCATGCTTAGTCATCGTAGACACGGCCTCGCTGAAGACGCTCTCCGTAGGCCGCGGCCCATAGAAGGGCTCATCGTCTGCATTCTCGTCGCTGCTGTGATTGCTGCTGTGTGTGCCCTTGGTGTCTATCATCCAATTCGCTTTGGTTTGATCTAAGCGCTCGGGCATGCTGTCTGCCAGTTGCTTGTCCCGCAGCATTACCTCGCTTAGCTCCTTGCGTAAGCATGTACGCGTCCGACCTAGGCAATCCGTGTACTCCACTTCGTCATCGTCGTGGCCAACAGCTGCATTTCCGCCCGCGCTGTCGTTTTCGCTACTGCTGCTGCTGCTCAGCCGATCTCGTGGAGTAGAGCTTGGTTTCGGTTCCTCTCCATCGCACTGCTGCTCCTGACGCTTGCGATTGAACATTACCAGGCAATTGTCGTCAGAGTTGAGGCTGCCGCCGCTGCGGCTCATGCGATCGTAGTATTTACTCTTTGCCTCCAGCACACGCCGAGATTTGTCCAACTGTCCATAGTCCTCCGTTTCATACACCTTTACATCCTCGTTGCGGCTGATCTCCTTGTAACTACGCTCTTTGCTGCTGCCAATAGATTTTGACTTTTCCTTATCGGTGGAGATTTTGTTTGGCCTAAATTCACTCGCCGTCGTCTTGGTGGCTTTTGCTAGTTTGACTTCATGCTGTTTTCGCTGTAATTCCGCTTTTAAACTAAGCAGCGATGATAAATTAACGCTGATTGCTTTGTTTGGGTCGTTCATATTCAAAACAAGAAAATAAATTGAAAGAAGAAGAGCAGAGTCAGCTGTTTGAAGTGGGAGCGTGTAGGTATCGATACCAATAAGCATCAATAATACAAACCGCAAATAGAAAAAAAAGTAAAATAAACTAAACTAACTTAAAAAAAAAGCGAGTATTTCTAGATGGTTACGTGCAAATACGAATGTTTCGTAACATTGAAAACACAAATAGAATGTGAAGGTTTTCGTAGAAAAGTAAATTCAGTTGTTTCAAGTACTCGATAGCCGACTATCGATAGCAAAATATCACGATTAAGAAAGAAATTCCAAAAGTGATTACAGAAAACAAGCCATATACACGAAATAAATTGGAATGTCTGGCGCTGGCGAGGAATTTCAGGTGGTAACGCGCAAAAAATGGATGGCGCGTAAATGCCTGAGTCGACGTAACCGCCACAAATCCGAGAGCGATTACTTAAACGATTGCCCCGATGTAAATGTGGACCAATTTCAAGCGTAAATGCATTGGTTTATATGTTTATATGCATATACTGATAATTGTTAATGACTTGCAGACGCCTGGAGAGACTCTGCGGTGAAATGATTCAAAGTGATTATTTTATCTTGTCTATGGAAACGCTGCAACAGCACCTGGACATGCTTAAGCGACCACTGGAACGTATAGTCTGCCTGGGCCTGGGACCATTCACACGCACACACCAAGCGCTGCATCAGGCAGCGTTTATTATGAGCGCCCAGCGGCAGCACAACATTAAGGAGGCACTCTACTATGATCCCGTGTTTCGTGAAACTGAGAAAGAGCTAATTCAACGTCTGAATGGCACTGTCATAGCCGAGGACAGGGCAGGCAGGCATGAAGCTAATGTATCCACTCTTTATTATTTGCCCCACTGTCCCTACGCGCTAATGCACAATCTGCTGTGGTGCAATTGGAGCAGCAAAAGCTTGGCCAACGTTTTTCTAATCTCGAATAGTTTCGAGATGCTAACACTGAACCGAACTCTATCTAAAACTAGAATTCCCAATGATCACATTGCCCGAATAACGGCCAACTGCACAGAGTCTCCTTTAGAGGATGACTACGAGCACAACAATGTATTCAATGACCTGTCATTGCACAGTTTTCCCAGCGACAAACTACCAGCGGTTGATGACACAATATTTTGGACACGATGCGCCCCTTTAAATGTGCACGAAGATGAATTACAAACCGAGTTAAATATCGAGGCAGAACTGGCTGCATTGAGCATAGGATCATAGTTAAACTTTTAAGCGTCACGGAATAAACTATCCTCTACGTTAAGGAAAAGAAATGTTTCATGTATTGCCTTTTTGATAGTATTCAAACCTATTTTTAGAGTAAAAGGTGAAGGCAATTTACGCTTTGAAGAGACAGTATCAACTTTAATGGCATTTTGCTCGTAATGACAACTTAGATTATTTTTCCCGGGAAGAGCCGTAAGATCTATTCTGTTTCATTAAAATTAAATACATTGGGTAAAAACCAAGTCAAAAAGTTAATGTATACAAAATTTGCCTTATAGGCACATGATTTTGTCCAGCTCTTTATCCTGCTCCTTCTGTGCCTTGGCAGCAGCCCGCTTACGTTGTCTTGAATTTTTGCGCCGGCTTTCTCTTGTCTTTGGCTTCCTCTTGCGCGTACGCTGCACCAAGCTTGGTTGCTCCTCAACCTTCGATTTTTTCTTTATCATTGCCTTTTTCTTGGAGCGCTGAGCGCCGCCTACTTTGACTGGAAATGCACAGGGCAACAGCTGCAGCTGTTCGTGCAGGCGACTACAAAGCTTCGGCGAAATGGGCAGATAGCTGGCGGCCTGTGTGAGAAAGTCGATGTCATTGGGCGAGGTACCCGCCAGCAGATCGTGCAATTTAAAGCTTGTGGGTGTGGGTTCCAGCGTAGGTTGGCACAGCAGAAACTTGTCCTTATACTTTGTTGCATAACGTAGCAGATATCTGCCAGGCGTCACGCTGCGCAGCAGTTTCAGGAACTCGCGTAGCTGGCTCAGCTGCTGCGGCATGCTTATGTGATAGTATTCGTGCAGCTGCTGCTCCAGTGCACCTAGTGTAAGCGGCTCCTCCAGCAGCGGCGCCATATCTTGCAGCGAAATGCGCGAGCAATGGCCTTTGTCGGTCTGGAGCAGTTTCAACTGCAGCCACGCGCTAAGCAGCTCGTATTTGGTCATGATCTCACAGCCGCAATCTGGCTTGTTCTCCAGCTTGATGAGATGACAGCCCAGCATTTGATTGGCCGTAGCGTCGCGCACGGCCGCTATCGGAAGGCTGCTGTACATCAACAGTGCCGGCTCCGCCTCGGTATCCGCCTCCCCAGCACGCAGACGCCAGCTGACCAGCGCACAGTTGGATCTTGCTTCTGTCATACGCCGCACATCCTCATCGATAGGCAACAGTTTGTACTCGGCGGGCTGCACTTTGTCATTCAGCGCTGCGGCTGGCATATCACTAGATAGCTGCACGACGCCGTCGGCGGTAAACTGCAGCCAGTTGGCTGGTGCGTATGCTGTGTAGGCCTGCGCCAGGAGGCGACTGTTTGTGTGCCAGCCGCAGCTGCGTGCAGGTAGTGGCTCCTTGAACTCAATGCACTTGTGTTCGCTGTCGGGAATATTACTTATGTGCAGCAGCATTTCTGTGGGCAAATCCACGTATGCGCCAGGCGTTAATAGCATCAGCAGTGCATCCAGAGGCAACACAAACACATCCTCATCCGTTTCCAGCAGTTGGCGCTCAAGCGCGTCGGCAACAGATTGTGAAGCGGGCTCGTCATTTACGCCTGCATAGGCATAACGCTCCAAACGCACCCGCAATGTGCTTAGCTCCTGGTGCGGCAGGCGCACATCTGGCCAGAGTCGCACATGACCCCGACGACATATCAGCTTAATATCTTCCATGCTGGCTGCCTCCTCTTTCAAGCTTTTACATTGATGGAGCTGTGGCAGGCCTGTGTGTGTTGAGTAGCTGCTATTGGGTAGCTCACGCAGCAGATGCAGCATTCTCATCTCGAACCATTTGCAGTAGTGCATCACCAGTGGCTTCATGGGCGCATAGAGTCGCTCCTTCTGTGCGTTGGCATAGTCGTAGATGTGCTTTTGTACTAGCTGCTGCTCTTTGCAGCGTTTGCCGTTCGTGACACGCCAAACAATAAAATCATCCTCGCTCTCAGCTAAGTTTTGCTGCCAGGCAAGCAACAGACGCAGGCAGGCCGCCTGCTGTACTGCACTTAGCGCGGAATGGCGTTCCTGTGGATTGGGAAATTCATATGGTAACTGTTGCTTTGTGTGGTCATAAACAGTGCGTCTTATAAGCTCCTGAGTGCGTGGATCACTTCTGGTAAATCCGCAGGCGTAGGATGTAAAGACTTGAGATGGCCCCGGTTGCTCCTCCTTTAAAAACTCTGAATCGATGTCGTTTAAAAAGGTAAAGAGTGAGTCGTCGGCTTGCTCAATCGATTTGTTGAATACCCTATATGACGGCTGATTGCGAAATATTGTGACACTGCCCTTATATAAATTCGTTTCCATATTTGTGTATATTGATTTGCACCTTTACAAAGGGTTTTTTACCCTTTGGTTGGTTGTTTGTTGTGGTTCCGATTGGCGTTGTTTGTTGTTCTGTTAACTTAACATTCGTGTTAATGTTATTAACAGCACAGAAATTACTTTTGTAACTGTCATTATGCTTAAATAAAAGAATATGCAATTATCAATTTGACTACACAAATTGGAATATGAAATGTTTTTTTGAGTGTAAAATATCATGAAACAATTCCTCCCCCCCCTCCCATGGTGTCTTTCAAACAATTTCTGTCCGTCATTATCGTTAAGTTTAAATATGATTTTTACGCAACATTTAACTGGTTTAAATTCGTCAGATATGTTATTTAAGTCCGAACAGTTTCTAAAAAACATTTTAAAGCCACAGCATGTATTTTAACTATCTAATATTGGTTTTTCTGCTTGTTCTTCCAGTTCTAAAAACTGGAGCTGCTACAGCCAATATTACGAGCTGCGACAAGGCAAAAAAGCAACCAAAACTCGTGAGCTTTCGCTTTTTGCATATAAGAAATTATCATCGTTAAATTTGTTTGCTTATAGTTAAGCTCCTGTTGTAATGTTCCTAGAAATGATCAATTCAGCAAGTCCTGCCGCAAGTCCCTGCTAAGTCAGACTAATCTAACTACCAATAATGGGGAGACTCGAAACTTGAAATCGGACAAAGTGGCTCTACATGCAGTAAGTTGTTCTGCTCAACTATCAAATCGAAAATAAAGGGTATCGTTTACAGTGTATTGCGGAGTGCGTATTCAAAAAGAATGGCTATTTACTCTCCAATGGAACTGTTAATTTACCTGTTATGCAAAGGAGCCTGGCACAGCGCTATAAAAATGATGATGTTCTTTCAAATCTCATCGTGAAGAGTTTAAAAAGCTGCGTGGACTACGGTATGTTTTAAAGAAGAAACAGCTATTACCCTAGTTAAGCCCACACATAAAATGAACTCTGATATCCCAGCTCTACTTTTTTTCGCTGCTTGAATGTTGAAATTCTCAACAAGTTAAGACTTCGTAATGACAAGCCATTTGCAATCCCTAAGTCAGATAACAAAATCTTTTATATACAAAATAATCAATATTAATATTGTTATAAAAAAGTAATCTAAAATGTAACCCTTACAGCTCAAACGCGTACCCAACAATTCCAATGGCTGCATGCAAAGGACAACTGTGATTACTATCCGGCTACTTTGCTGGCCTGTATCATGGAACAGGTTTATCAGAATTGTCCGGCATCTATATGGAAAAATACGGATGATTGTGTGGGCATGCGGAATTACTTGATTGCCTGCAATGATGTGAAAACTAGCAGAAAGTAAATGTATGTAATTGCGTCTATAAAAATAGATCAATAAACTTAATCGTTCGTTTAATGGCTATATACTTAAATTGATAACATACAATTTAGTTGTCATTTGTCAGTTATAAGTCTGTATTACTCCGCACACACATTAAACTTCATGGTGGCCAAATCCGCCAGGCCGCACTCGATGACATCGCCAGCTTTGAAAGCATCGGAGCCATTTGGCGTGCCCGTCAGTATCAAGTCATTTGGCTCCAATGTCATATACTTGGATACATAGGCAATAATGTCAGGCACTTTGAAAACCAAATCAGCCGTGCAGCCGCTCTGCTTCAGCTCGCCATTGACCTTAAGCCACAGTGGCAGGGTATGCGGATCGTCCACAGCATCAAACGGTATAAATTGTGAAACTGGCGTTGATGTGTCGAAGCCCTTGCCCAATGTCCAGGAGCCGCCAGTGGCGCGTGCAGCAGTCAAATTGCATTGGGCAGTTAGATCCAAAGCCAAACAGTAACCGCCAACATGTTGCATGGCCTGAGCTTTTGATACATTCTTGCACCGCGATCCGATGACAACGCCTAGCTCCACTTCATAGGCGACCTTGGTAAACACTTTGGGCAACTAAAACGGACAATTCGTATTTATTATCAGTAGAGTTTCAAATAGCGTAGGTCACCTACGATAATGGGACAGCCTTCACGCAGATAGGAAGTTGTTGGTTTTAAGAAAACGATTGGCACCTGTGGCACCGGCACATTTTTGGCTTTGACTGCGCACCTGCGTATGGCAAACAAGTTGAATTACCGTTTCAATCAAGGCTTGCAATATCAATTACATGTAGTTTAAGGCAACTCCAACAATCTTCTTGCCCTCAAACAAAAAATTGGCCGCATCTTGGTTGCGTTGAAAGGCCATGAGGCAACGAGCGGATAGGCGCACCACTGAAAAACGTTATCAATTTGTTTAGTTTGATGATATTTTCAGACAAATTATGACAAAAATATAACTGTCTCTGTAAAACTGAGCTTACAATATGAATGTGAGACTGGAGATTGCGACCACTGCGGTCGACTGAATGTGAGTGAATATTTTGCTTTTAATTAGAACAATGTTAAAAGGCACTTACTTGCGTCAATGCTGTATTTATTGGGCCTCAAGGTTATCTGGAGACGTGCCCCTCTGCCCAAAAATAGTTTATCAATGGAAATTAAATAACATAAAACTCAATTGATCAACAGAGAACTAGATCGCTTGTTCAAAAGAGTGCAGCGTAACCGTTGCACTCGATTAGCGCATAAATCAGCAGCGTTGACGCAAATTCAGCAACATACTGTAGTCGCGATGTTCGTCAAATTAGCGGCGGTGACTTAGCGTCGATTTTTGGTACTTGTTATCGGAAAAGGAATCGGTCACTTTTAAATGCATTTATTTATGTTTTTAAGCACAAAACCCAATAAATTTAAATGCAGAATTGCAAAAAATTAAATTATTTACTGTCTACATTCATTTGTTTTGGAATTTTAATTTATAATATGGGTATACCAAGGGGTTGAAAAATTAGGTTTCCATTCTCTAAATATCTTAATTCAGGAATATATAATTCAGGTCTTGAGCCCTTATTTCTTAACTCAGGGACAATGGCCTTCAATGCGCTTTTGTCGATACATATTTTAAGAAGCTTTTGGCACTAATTTTAATCAAATGGACGGTACAGATTTTGAGAAAATAATTTAATTGTAAACCAACCTCATATAGTTTATTCATTACGCCTATCGAACTGCTAGTTCCAACGCGAACTGAACCACTGCTTGGATACAGTGTTGAACAATTCTATAAAGTATTGGGCGGGAACAAATCAATTCGAATTATATGTATTCATGAAAAAACGGAAAGGACTCTTAAACAATTACATTAATAAGTTAAAGCAAATTATATAAGAAGTATTCAGTCATACTGAATAGTGCAGCTTATGAAAAAATTGAATTTTTCTATTTTTCTCATTACATCCTATGTTAATGCAAAAAAACAAGCTGCCAATATTATATTTATACGTGAAATGGCGTCAATATTTCAACCTATATTTATCAATTTTTTGGCTAATGGCCTCAAATGCACGGTAGTTGTGCATATAGAGCACGATTTATCAATCATTTTGCCTTTTATTTCATTAAAATCGTCGACATTGTATCCAAGCAATAAATAATTTAATTTTTTTGCAATTCTGCCTTTAAATTTATTTGGTTTCGTCCTTAAAAACTGAAATAAATGCATTTAAAAGTGACCGATTCCTTTTCCGATACCAAGTACCAAAAACCGACGCTAAGTCACCGCCGCTAATTTGACGCACGTCTCATGGCAACAGAAGTTAAAGTACTTGTTGCGTGCAAAGGTATCGAATGGGTTCCGCATTAAAATTTGAAGGGAAATGGACCGTGCTATAGAATAAGTGGGAATTTCCAAAGAGCGCAGTGGCTTTAAAATCGATCCCAACCAGTGGGAAATTTTAAGAGTATCGAATCAAGTTTCAAAAGTTAAAGCGATTCCCTTACAAATTTAAAGCATATTAACAATAATAAGAAGCTTGTTTAAGGTGATTATAATTTATTAGAATTTTTATTGACTTAAATTATATATATATATATATATATATATATATGTATATATATATATAAATAAAATATTATTCAAGTACAAAGTTATATATACTCATTATTATTATTTAATTCAAGTAAATATAATTCAAAGTGTGTGTTTTGTGTGTCTGTGTGTATTTTCTCTTGCTATATATTAGGTAAGTACAATTTACTGAATCCTTGCTCTCCCTTTGCCGTACAACAGCATATTTTCCAACTTAGTTTTCTTTTAAAGTCAAGTATATCGGATGCTTTAAATAATTTCTTTTTGGATCACAAAACAGTAAATGTCTTAAACGAGTCGAAAATTGTTATTGAATTAAACATAGTTAAACGAAAGTTTAAGTTGTGTAATTATAAAAATATTGTAGCTGCTGCTGGTAACTTTTTATTCTCTCTAATTTTTTGTTTTTAATTTACTTTTAGCTCGAAAGTATGTCTAACCTTAAACCAATTTCGCCTCCAAACCGCGCGCGCACATTTTTTCTGTTTAAAATTTTCTTTTATTCTCGTCGTCCACATCCTTGTCCATAACACTCGCCATTTTGTTTTTAAACGCTACGTTGCCTTAACTTCAGTCCTTTCGCAGAAAACCTAACCTTAAAATGTATTAAGCTTTTTCAATTAACTTTCTCATTTCATTTCCTCACTTCTCATCATTTGTTTTTGTTTTTGTTTTTGTTTTCATTTTCAATACAGTTGCTGCCGACACTAAACGTAAATACAGTACAATACAGATACTTTTATTTTCTGTTTCTGTTTCTGTTTTCTTTTTGTTAGGGTATATATAAAAAGGTTTACATAATATAATTTGCCTGCCTGCCTGCCTGCTTTACTGTACTTCTAACTACAATTATAACCTCATCTTTGGCCGCACACTTCCGCTCATATTCCACATTCTCGTTCCGTTAGTTTGTAAATATGTAAATTGTAATACATTTCATTTAAATTCACTAAGAGTTGCACGGACTTTGTGTATTTGTGTGTCTATGTGTGTGTGTGTGTGTGTGTGTGTGTGTGTGTGTTTTTTTAATAATTTAAATCATTTTGTTTTTTACTGCCTTTTATACCTTCGCTAAACCAATTTAGTTTTCTTTTTTTTTTTTATTAATATTTGGAAAAATATGTTTTGTTTATAAGTTCGTTTTGTTTACGTTTTCTTTGCTGTTTTATGCTCTTTTAGTTTTCTTTATGAAATGCCAAAAATTTGTGCAAATTTCTAATGAATTTTTGAATTTTTTCTTTCTTTTGTTTTTGCTTTACACTAAAATATTTAACTTTAAAATGTATCTTTTTAGCTTTAGTTTCGTTTTTTTTTTTGTTTTGTATTTAGTTTCATTTAAAATATTGCATTTTTACTTTATATTTTTTGTTTTTAGTTTACTTTTTTTTTTTTTTTTTGTTTGGAGGCTTCATCCCTGAGTGATTTAATTTCCTTTGTTTGTCATTTATTGCAATTTTTTTTTTGTTGAAGTTTATAAACTTATTGTTTTATAATGTCTTATATGTGATTTATAAGAGTATGCAAAAACGGAACCAAAACAATTGCGAATTAGATAAGTTTGCGTGGGCTTCGAAGGTTGCTTATTTGTTTATGGGCTCTGCGACTCGACGGTTAGTTCTTGTCTATATGAGATTGACACATTTGTGTAATGGGAGGCAAACTACGTAAATCTTAGCCAAAAATGTGCTATATACTATAAAGTAGTAACTGTACTTAAACTTGATTTGTTTTCGGTTTTTGTCTGGCTATTTGTTTATATGTAACTTTTGGCTAATACATTTTGTTGGCTTATTTGCCTTTTGTGTGGCTTGTTGTGGTTGCTTCTGCTTGTTTTGCGTTTCTGTTTGTATTTGTAATTAGTATTTGTACTTTACTGCAAGTATTTGAATTTATTTTCTGTACTCAAAGCAACGCACAAAGCCACTAAACAGAAAATCCCCAACGAGAATTTCCCATTTCCCCTTAAGCTGCTGCACAATCTTCAATCACGTACACATTATAATATAATAATAATATATATATGAATATGCCTGGAACATAATTAGCATATACATTATACATATATGTGAAATAGTTAGTACATTGATAACTACACAAAATATGACACTACATCAATTGGGTATGCAAAAAATAAAAAGTAGCCAAAATACATATGCTTAACAAAATACTGGGAATTATAATCAAATGCTGCGATGAGCAACAAGTTGAATGCGTGTAATTTGGTCTTTGAAAAACTCTTCGAAATGCGTATAAGAGCGCATTAGTGACAATTTAGCTATTTTGTAGCCAAATCAGTAAGCTAATTCAGCTAGACCTTTTTATAGCTATTTATAGCTACTTTTTTGTAGCGGCAGTTGGCAGCACTGGTTGAGAGCCGTGCATCAGATTCCAATTGCATTCACAATATAAGAGAACTGTCTTATACCCATTACGATTTTCGAACAACTTGTTGCCCAAGGCACATTTTCGTGGTTGATTTCAGGAAAATAGATAGAATTGAATGTGAAAAGAAAGAAAAACCGAAACACCGCATTACAACTATTTGGTTTTAGATACTTTTTTGTTTTTTTTTTTGTTTTGTTTTTGTTTTGTTTTTGTTTTCAATGTATATTAGTTTGAAGCATTCCGTATAACTATATGTAAATATGCTGTTACCACATATGATAAAATGTATATTGGTATTGTTTAGATCTTTACATTAATCTCGTTATTCTCAAAAAATGCTATGTATTTGAACAGTTAATTACGTTTTCACTTGCACGAAGTGTTTGCACTTTATTTCGGTTATTGTTTTATGCCTTTCATTCATATACTTTATCCATTTTGTTTTTCATTTTCTTCAACTTTTTTCATTTTTTTGGTATAAGTTGGTTTTCTCTTCTTTTGTATTTATATAAAAAATATTCTTTTATTGAGTTTTTTTTTGCAGTTATTGTTTTTGGTTAGCTGTTTTCTGTTTTTTATATTTTTAGAGCGGTATCTTTTTTTTCTTTTTTTTTTTGGATCGATTATATATGGTGTGTATATATATTTGTGGTATTGTATTTTATAGTTATGTTTTTGTTTTTGTTTTTATTCTTTTGGTAAGCATGGTAGGTTGGCTATAGCTATAGAGTATACTTGTATGTTTTTAATTGGTGTATTGTAATCTGTCTGATTTTCTTGAATGGATAGTTAGTTTGATTTAAACGACGATTGGAAGTTGGGCCTGCAAAGATGCAAGCTTGTATTGCATTCGACTGTTTAGTGTTTGCTTCACTTTGAACATTAAGTTTAAAAATTCTTAAAAATACATGACATTTTTCTTCTTCTCTCGTAAGTGTTGAAATAAAGTATAAGACTAGAAATATATATTTATGTATATATATATACATATATACCGTTACAATTTGACTTAATTAATATGCGCATCAAATGAATTTGTTTTTTGTAATTTTTCAAAACTTATTCTAAGTACATTTATTTAAGTTGTTGCGAAAAAAACGAAAAACAAAAACAAAAAGAAAATTCAAATGAAAATGGTGTTCAATGAAAATTGCACATAAATTTGTATTCCATTAAAAATTATTCGCTTACAATTAAAAGCTTTGTTTTTTGTTTATTTTTTTTTTTTTTAGTTTATGCAGCAAAGATCACAGATCCTCATAAAGAAATGAAAGCCAACTATGCGCATATTTTAATTTTAAAATTCCAACTCGAAATTCTTTTCGCTTCCCTTTTCCACCATTTTTGTTTTGTTTTGTTTTGTTTTGTTTTGTTTTTTGTACATTAAATTGCTAAACTTTGCTTAACTGTTTTTGTGCGAAAACTTGAACTGAAAGAACCAAAGCTAAAGAACTGAAAGTGTCTTAAAACAAAATTCAACTAATACTTGCATTCTGTAGTATAACTTTTTGTTTGTTTCTTTCTTTTTGTTGTTGAGAGGGTTATTGGATTTGGGTGACGCTCAGCAGGACCTTCGGTAAACTCCAAACACATTTCAAAAGCAGCTCAGCTTTTGCCAAAAAAAATGCACAATTTGCGGCTGCAATTTGCGTGGCAACAACTTAGCCGCCTTTTGGGGCATGAAATGTATTTGTGAATTTACCAAAAGTCCTTGTACGAACCTCAGGAACCGTGTAGCGCATTATTCTGCGCATTGTTCCCGGCGCTGCCATTCACATTCTGGGCTGAGACCTCCGACTTGACGCGACGCGCAATATGCGAACGCGTGTGTTTGCGCAAGTGATCCTTGCGATAGAAACCTGAATTAAAAGAAAGTATATATTAGTATTAGAAAATAATTCAGAATGGTAGAGACTATCAAAAGTTATTCCATATTCAAGCCACGATATCTCTAACGAATTGTGCAAATGTTTAAGGATGAAGCACAAAGCACAAAGGGAGAGGATAGGTAAGTGTGTGCGATAAAGAACAGAAAACAAAGCATGAAGGAATAAAAACAGTTTTTATGCAAAATTGAATAAAAAGAAATTTGCGAAATAAGGAGAGAGAGCGAGGGCGAGAGAGAGAGCGAGTGAGAGAAAGGACGAGGTAGAGAGCGAAAGAGGGCGAGTAAGAGAGCAAGAGAGGGAGAGATAGAGGGAGAAAGTGAGTGCGAGTGAGAGAGGGAGAGAGAGAGGAAGAAAGAGAGCGAAAGAGAGACCGAAACACCTTGCTTTAAAGAAAGCAAACTTTCTTGCTTTCTGTGAGCACAAGACCACAAAACGTTTAAGGATGGCGCACAAAGAGGAATATATTAACTAGTACTTGCGGACTCTTCGATTTATATTCTCACCTTTGCCGCACTCAATGCAGACGTGCTTCTTCTCACCCGAGTGTATGACAATGTGCAAGGTGAGCTGCTCCTTGCGCTTGAAGGACTTCATGCAGATCTGTTGAGAGATAGAGAATTGATTAAATTTTTGGTATTAATGCGACGAATCAGACCGCCACTCACATTGCACACATGCGGCCTGTCCGGTATGTGGGATAACTTGTGCCTGGTCAAGTGATCCTTGCGCTTTAGCGCCGCATTGCAGATATCGCAGACAAAGCGCCGCTCGACGGCATGCGAGATGACATGCTGCTCGATCAGGCTGCGATCCGGATAGGCCATCTGGCATTCGGGGCAACAGTAGAGCGTGGAGCCGTCCAACGCTTTCGTTTCACGTATTTCGCCGGGCTTGGGACGTGGCTTCTTCTCCTTTGGCGGTTTCTTCTTTTTGGTCTTCTTGCCGGTGGTGGTGGTGCCCCCTGCGGCATTTGTGGTGCCCACCGCCGCGGTGCTCGAGACGGCGGCACCATTACTAACCGCACCATTCGCATTGCCATTGACCCCGTTGCTGGCACCGCCATTGGCCAGCGCCGAGCCATTCGCATCCGTCATGCTGGTCATGTGGCCGCCATGATCCATGCCCACCAGACCGCCATTGTGATGGCCACCGCCATTGGCGCCATTATTGCTGGGCGTTAGTGCGACGCCCCCCAGCGCCAAACTGGCCAAATTGGTGCCATTCTTGAGGACATCGCCCGTGGACTCCTTCTTTATTGTTTCCGAATACTTGAGGAAGTGCTGTATGGAGATTGGCAGTGTTGCGGATAGCAAATGCGATGAGTAGTCGACCGTGTTGGCCGTATTGGCCAGCGTTTGCCACGATTGATTGACATTCTGTAAGATTTGCTGATTGAGCACTGCGAAAGAGGATGGAAAGAGATGTGAGTATTAAATGTACTCTATGTCTAGCCGGGGCGTGGGGTACTATCACTAGTGCAACAGACAAGTCTGTTCCCAAAAGACATAATTCTTGATCAGCATTGATAGGCGGGTCTATATAGACTGTCCCTATGTACAATTATCTTAAGGATCTCGCTCAGTTGTAAAGCTAAGATCCTAAGATAATTAAGACAATCGCCTGTAAATCGTGTTTAGATAAGATCCGAAGATAGTTATCTAAAAGGGTATCTAATCTTTGTTAACCGTACTTTCTTGTGTTCGCTCTGCTTTTGATGATGATGCTGATGGACACACCCAGGACACAAATCCCAATTCCCAGCCCAACATCCCCCCCCCCACCCCCTCCCCCTTGGACGCACCGTTACTAAATATATGTCCACGCCCAGCTCAGCTCCTTCAGTTCATGCATTATCTAATAGCTTCCTGGATAATTTTCTTGATGTAAGAAAAGCAAAGGCAGAAAAAAAAACCTACCCCAACAACAAAAAGCTTTGGCTTGGCAACGCACACACACCCACACACCCAGACAACCCGTGTGTGCGTCTGTGTGAATAGGCTCAATTCTATTTTCTTGAAAATCCCAGGCTGCCCCCTCCACACCGCCCTCCCGGCTTAGCAGACCACCTACAGTTACTGCCGCCAAGGACACATGACATGCCGCATCCCTAACCCACTCTCTTTGCAGCAGCCGCTTCCCCCCTTTCCCTGCTGCTTCCCTGGGGCAAAGGCTCAAGTTTTCAGGCTGTTCTTTTAAAGTTAATACGCCTACGTGGAAAATATATATATGTGTGTGTGCGTGTGTGTGGAAAAGTTTTTGTGCTCGACAAGTAAACAGAAATTTTGAAAACTTGTTAATAGGAAATACACACACACACACACACACATACACTCAAGCACAGAGGGTTCATAAATTGCTGGGAGATAAAAGTTGTTGGCCGCTCCAAAAAGTATGCTACAAAATCGTAATCCAGACAGGGCGCAACATTTTCCTTCATTTTTTTTTTTATATAAATAACATTTGAGCCGAAGCGGACCGAGTGCGGGGCAGCGGGGCAGGGGCGGCGCGCACGAAGAATAATGCGCGTCCTTGAAATTACATGCCATATAACAGATAGCTGGCCAAAAAAAAAAAATAAAAAGCCGAGACCCAAAAAAAAAATAAAAGGAAAAACAAAGAAAATATAGCCTTTTCCCTCCCTCGCCCCCTCCCTCCACCCGCAAATACAAACCCCTGCCGCTTGCGTCGCCGACTCACCTTCTTCCCGGTCACGTTCAATTTTTGGATGGATTTTACCCTTATGATCCGCTGCAGCGGCCGCATTCAGAAAGTTTAGATCACTCTGCGGCTGCGAGTATGGTATGGATATATTTTGACCATATTGCATATTATTGGCCGCCGAAACTGTAAAAATAGAAGAGTGAGAGGGAGAGAAACATTAGCAGTTGATAAAGTAAAAGAAAAAGACACATTTTTTGTGAGGTTAGGTCATATTTACACATGCTCGAAATTGCGCTAGAATCACAGCCTTATGTGGTTACTTTATAGATATTTTAAGTTTTATATATTTTCTATCAATTTTATTAAATATATATTGTATATTTTATGTGTTTAGCTTGTGTTAAAATTTGTTTAATTCGAGGCCGCCGCAAGCGAGCTCCAGCGCACAACGACTAACTACAACTGACTGGGACCTGCGTCTGACTGAGCTACAGCAGCAGTAGCAGCAGCTACAGCTGGCAGCGGCGACGGCGACACACACACACACAAACGAACACATGCACGCACACGACGAACGAGGATCGGGTGCCGGCTAAAAGCGGGCGGCTGTTCGTTTTATGCACGACGCCTGACAATGTCCCAGTGCCGCACGATTTATTCTTCGTGTGTGTGTTCTTATACATATACATGAAGCTACTGCCTGTATGTATGTGTGCCTTTGTAGGCTGCTACACTTTGTTAGTAGTTGGCAACACTGGCTGCTGACGGCTGACATGCGTAGGTTGTTGTTGTTGCTGCCGTTACTTTTAGGCAGCTGTGGGCATGTCTGCCTGCCTGCCTGTTCGCCCGCCTGCCCCTGCCTGCTTGCCTGTCGTCGCGCTGCCGTCTGCCAAGGCCAAATTTTGCACCCACACACACACACTCATACAAGCGCACTGAGCGAGAGAGCACACGTGCAAGCCACGCATACATAGGAAAAAGGAAATTAAAATTGAAAATGCCGGCCCTACCGATGCGCCTCAAATGTATGCTACACACACACACACATACATACCCCACAGCGTGTGTGTGTGTGTGTGTACGCGTATTTTTCGGCATTGCCTTTTACGACAGAATTTTGCCGGGCGCTCGTTTTTATTAATAAATATTTTCTGGCTGTTGCCAATTGGCCCGGTTTTTTGTTAGTATTTTTCTTTGTATTTGCTTCCTTTTTCCTGATGAAATGATTATGTACATACTGGATGGGAGAGAGGAAGACAAGAGCAACAGCAGACGCAAGGTATGCAGCATGGTATGCAGCGGGGTATGCAGCAGAGTATGCAGCAACAAAAAAGGTTACAAATTTAATAATAATAAAAAGAAGAGCCGAAACATTTAAAAGCATAACATATATGTATGTACATGTGGGTGTACGACTATGTGATTGTGCCTGAGTGAGTGCGTGTGAGTCTGTGTGTGTGTGTCTGTGTATGCGTGGCAACTGCCGTTCAGTCCCTCGAATAAATTAACTTGTGACCTTGCATTATAATTTAACATATTTCTTATGCTTTAATGCCCACTGCGAGCGTTGCCACAGTCGCATAATATACTCTAGCACACTTTTGGGGTAAACGAATTTAATGCGCTAACCTCAATTAGGCAGGTCATATGTGTGCAGACGGATGTGTCCGTGGGGAGAGGGGAACAGAGAGAGAGTGAGAGAGAGACAGAGAGAGAGAGAGAGAGAGAGAGAGAAAGATTGCCCTGCGTGGGTAAATAAAGCAAACAGGCTAATGAGATCTAATAAAGGAAAGTAGTCCGCATGGAGGATTAAGCTGAAACAATTGACCAGCGAACCGTAAAAGGCACCAAAAGACATCTTTCGGAAACAGACTCGTAAATGAAATTATTTCAGGAACCAGTGTATGCCTAAAAGCAACATTTTATTTAATTAAATACAGTAATTATGATTAATTGAGTAATTTAACAAAGGCAGAACAAAAACATGAGCCTGCACGAGCCATCGAAATTTTATTTAAACATTCGAAAGTAAAAATTAAAAACTTTACACATAAACCTATCGAACGATTTGTAGTCAGTGTTGAAAAGTTTTCGAAACATGCTTGAAATGGTATAATGTGTACGTTTCATTTCCAATCATTGCAAAAGTTTTCTAAAAATTTTGAGATTTTAAATTTAGACAAATTATTGAAACATAGTTAGGCCTTAGAGCAGAACAAACATTGAAAAAAATCTTGTCTAGCCATAAATATTTTCCAAAAATTCCACGACACTTTTTAAAGAAGAAACAAACTAATAATTGTTATACGTTGTCTGGAGTAAAGTTTTCTTGAGAAACTAGTCAAAAAGTAGAGGATGAGCCTAATGCTTACGCACGAAAAATCGATTTACATATAAGTCCCAAAAATCTCGACACACAGCGACGAGGACTTTCCTCCACCCCTTCACCATCCGGGGACAAACGAGAAAAAAAAAATAAAGGCCGAGATAATCAAATATTATCCGAGCAATTAAATTGCCCTTCACCCCCCCCCCCCCTCCCCTTCGTTTACTAAAGTTGATAGATAAACAATGAAAGCAGTTAGACAAATGCAAGACTTATGTAGCCGTAATTAATCAAGTGAATCAACTGAGTGCACAGAGTAAGCGGCAGGCCCCAAAAAGTAGACAACGAAAAGTGACAGAAAAAACCAACTGCCCATAAAAATGACAAACAAGAAACAACAAAAAAATAACACACACAAGTTGACAAAACAAAAACGAAACGGAACATGGAACGGGTATACGAAATGTCAGACAGAAGAGGAGCAGAATTGACAGACGCACGGAAATACTGGGCTAAGCCTGTGTGGAAACGAGCAATGGACTACGTCGAGCCACCGACGACAACAAAGCTGAAAACACGCGCTCCATTTTCCATCAACGTACCCGGCATTCTCGTTGTAACATTTCACTTTTCACTTCACTTTCACATGGGCCACACGACAACGTCGACAACGACCAGCAGCAGCGGCAGCGGCAGGACGAGCACAAGAACGGATGAGTAAGAGAAACGGCAGAATGTTGTTGTTGCTGCTGCCTAGCAACGAGTTAAAGTCGGTGAAAACTGAAACACGGCCAAGCGAGAGTGAGAGCGCGCCCAACTTCAAATGAGCGTGTGTGTAGAGAGAGTGAGAGAATGAGCGCGCGCGCCTGTGTGTGTGTGTGAGAGTTTATGTGTGTGAGAGAGTGTGTTTGTTGGGCGCACGCTCTCCAATACCACAATATGGCGGCTGGCTTAGGTTTGAGTGGCACAGCCAAAGTGGAACAAAATGGAAAGGAATTCGCTGGGTTTGGGGAACGTTATGGAAAAACATGGCGCTACGCTCTGCATGCCTACTTTTAAGTGTGTTTATAGTGCCGGCATACACAGTGAAAGCGGTGAGAGAGAGAGAGAGTGAGAGAGAGCGCGCGCGCAACAGAAATATATATAAATATAAAAATACATGTACAGATATGTACATAGAGTAGAAGAGAGAGTGAGAGAGCGAGCGAGGTTAGCAAAGACTGCAACCCCTATTAGAGTTGGGGGTTTTAACGTCCGCTGCTCGTGGTTTGGGCGTGTGTAGCGCGACGCGGCGCCAGTCGCCAGAGTTTGAGTCATCAGCGACAGCAACAACAACAATAAACCAATCCAACCACAATAGAGTTGCCAGAATCAGCTTTAAGCCTTAAAGCTGCCATATGATAGGAAAAAGCTTTATTTGGCTTTATTGTTTTACACTTGCCTGCTTTTTTCGAAGGGCTTAAGGGCAAATTAGCAGGAAGGGAGGGGTGTCTAACTCAATTACATGCACGCCCAATGCGCTCATATATCAACTGTACATAAATGCACACACACACACACAGACACATACACATATGTATATGCAGTGAAGGCTCTATTAACGGACATCTCTTTATGGCATCAAAGTTTTTCCAATGTTTTTCCCCAACTTTTGAATTTTACTGTCATTTGTCCTAATTTGTTGTACAGGTTCAAAATTGTTCGAAATGTGGGATTTTTTGCTCCAAAGTTTAGCTTTTTTTTTACAATATATTAAAAGTTGTAAACATTCTTTTATGATTATCATTAACATATATATGGATATTTAAAGCATTAACGAATGTATATTATTAGACGTACGTGTCCGCTCAAGTGGGATTTCACTGTATTTACTTATATCTACACCTAGTCTGACAGACTTATAAGCACGCGCATTTTTAGTGTTGCATAGCGTCAGGCGCTGTTCGCTTCGTGGGGGTGTAAACCCAGCCAGCACACACGCTCGCACTCACACTCCCTCACGCACACACACACACACACACACAGTCTGTTATGTACACATAGAAATATGTACATGAGTGCAAATAATTTATGGGGGGGTTGGGCGCGCCAAAACGACCCTCTCGACAAACCGCAATATTATCACATATGTACATACGCCAGGCTGGTCATCTGCATGGCATATAGTATTCCCGATTCGCCACTCGGATCGTGTTAATATACAGATCATATTATGATTAAATGCAAGGCTAAGCTAAGCACATGGCTAATGTTAAGCACCCCAACCCCTAGCGGGCGCTCTCCCACTCTCCCGGTCTCACTCTCTCAGTGTTTTTTATTTCTTTACTCATCCTTGCCCTCCCCGATGCTTCGTCATCGTTTAAACGGAAAAATCAATGAGCCACAAATATTGTACCTTTTATTTACGTTTTTTTGTTGTTTTCTTTTCCTTTTTTTTTTTTTTTGGATTTTGCTTATTTGTCTTGTGTTGACGTTGAAATTTTGATATCTACTTAAAGAGTTGCCCCCAGGACTTGATAAATTATGTAAATTGCACACAACAAAAATAAACAAATATTTACCCCAGGTGCTTGAACTTGAAAGAAAGTTAAGGGTACGTAGCTTCCATGCTGTAATACAGCCAGGAAAAGAAAAGTTGGAACGATTTTTTGATGGGAGCTCATGTCTTAAACTGATATAAATAAACAAAATTATAAAAATTATTTTTTGCTAAGGAATAAATAAATGGTATGACGATATTATATTTTTTGCTGACAAAAATTAACGCAATCTCGAAAATTCAAATATATTTATTTCCTTGGATAAAAACTTTGAAATTGTGTCATTTTTATTATAAAGCGTTTCAAGATGTTTTATCTATAACAAAAAAAATGTCTTCCTAATCTGAATCGAAATGAAAAAGCCTGAAAAATATTTCCTTAATATAATAGGAAACGGACAAATATAAGATGACAGTAGAACTTTATTCCGTTAAGAGATCTCTTAATATTTATATCCTATGAAACGGACATGTAACCGATATTAATTAAAATGATTTATATGTATTTTGTTTTCATTATCTACGACCAATCAAAAGTCAATATTTTGTTTTGATTGCAGTTAATGTAAAGTAACATGATCCCAAAACTGTTCATTTTTATTTTTATAAACATCAAAGACCTAAACCTGGCCATATTTATATTATTTTTGGTAAACATTACTCAGATTAAATAAAAATAAATAATAAACACGGCAACTAGATATACGTAAGTTCTTCCTATCGAGGTTTTCCATTTACTCGCATCTCATTTAATCTAGATAATAGATAATTCAAAAATGGCTATCCAAAACGATTCGTTGGCCATCTACAAGAGTCCGAATCTGTTGCCAGTCGATATCTCAGTTCATACGAATGTGATTTATAATGCGAGACACGCTATCGCATGCTATAACTATCTCCCAAAAACAAAACTGGACTCTGGGACTTTTTTTGTTGTTGTTGATAAGCCAGCTAATAAGCGACAAGAAAATGCGGTAGCTCGACTGAGCAGGGAGCGGCATGCAGCGGGGGTAACCATCGCTCTACCTGCATGGGCTAGCTGCAACCACACACACACACGCACGCACACACGCACACACACACACGTTGATAGATAAAAGAGCAACCCACACTCACACACTCACACACACTCATGCACAACCCTGACACATGCATAGACACATTTTCCTGTTGTTGCAGGTAAAAAAAAAAAATGTGAAAAACCAAAATGAAATGAAATAAAATAAAACGCTAAACTGGAAATGTAATGCGTAGAGCTGAAAAGCTGGGATCAATGAACTATACAAAACAGTGGCAAATGGCAGTTGGTATCGGGTGCGAGTTCGAGTTCGAGTTTGGGTTCGAGTTCTGGTTCTGGTTCTGGTTCTTTAACGTGCTGCATTTTCCAGCGTGTACAAATTAATTATGAACTATTTGCGGACTGGGCAACTAATAATGCAAGTGAATGCAACTAATTACAATTGATAAAAGACGTGATGTGAGCCTATCAAAGCTGGTTTGAGCTGGGTTTTGTAGATAGGTAAACGCTTCGAGGCCGACTAATCGCAGCTCTGCAGCTTCTAGTTCAATTCGCGGAAATAGTTCATTACAATGAACTAACCATGACGGATCTAAGATGAACTATTGAAAAATATTGGTAGCGTATTCGGAAAGAACTTAAATGAACGACTGAACTATGTTGGGCCTCAAATGAACCTCGAGTGAACGGATTGAAACCCAAATTGGAACCACTGAATGATTTTGGATGCAAATGAACCACTGAACGATTAGAGAATATAATGAACAAATGGTTTGGAACTCAAGTGACCGAAGATGAACGAATGTTGGGATGTTGCTAAACTATGTTGGGCCACAAATAAATATCAGATGAATACTGTAACTCGATCTAATGACTGAACGATTGGAGACTCCAAAGAACGACTGAACGAATTGGAACACAAATGAACCACTCAACGATTGCAAATGAACCACTCAAGGATTAGGCGCTTTAATGAACAAACGGTTTGGAGCTCAAGTGACCAAAGATGATCGAACAAAAGCAAGTTGGGATGTTGCTAAACTAAGTTGGGCCTCGATTAAATAACAAGAATTATAAGCTAGAACGGAGTTTAGTTGCTCAGTTGGATGATTAGTTGATTTGAGCTCTGTCTGAATGATTCGGTAGAACTCTGACTGCTTATGTACAATGCGTTTGCGTTTAGGGGTTGGGCTGGCAGTCACCCTGCCACAAAGAGTTGCAGCTTGGCTAAAAGGAAGTCAGTGCAATTAAAAAGGCAGCGACGCTGCCTTTCCACAAACAGGGGTTGGGGTTGAAAACTGCGCACGCACACATACACATACTCAAACTCCCCCGTTTAATTGAGTGTGTGTGTGTGTGTGTGTGTGTGCTGAGTAGCTAACGACAGTAAAACCCACCCCCGGGGCTATACAAAGTAAAATGCAGCAAATTCAAAAGTTATTTGAGTTCATTGCATTTTCAAGCGAAGCTAAGCAACAACAACAACAACAACAGCAACAACAACGAGAGCGAGAAAAACTGGCAATAGCAGCAACGGGCACACACACACACACACACACACACACACAAGCACAGTGCCAAACGGGGGTGGGTGGTAATGACTCAAAACATAGCGCAGCAGAAGGAAAAAAAAACAGCAACAAGAACGAAAAATCGTTAGATTCGGTTATGTCGACAGCCGCATCCGCTCCGCTCCGCTGCATAAGTGAGGAGTACAAATTGCAGGACGTCCGTGTTGAGTAGGGTATTTGCGCTTTTTAATTTAAGATCTGGGGTGGACAATTGTTTGATAGGGTGGGAACAAATATATTGAAATGGGGCGCACGTGTGGAATTTGTGTTTAAGAATAATTAGTTAATATCAGTATAAACGAATTCAGAGAAACTCTATAAAGTAAAATAAACTAGTATATAAAAAAATTTACAATCAATCACCTAAAAGTATGTTCTACCATCTAGCTGAAGACCCCGGTAGTATCCACTTATAATTTATTTTTAACTCTATAAGTTTATATCAAAAAATAAATATACAATGCACAATTAAAGCCTTGTTCATAAAAGAATATAGGAACCATGTGCGCATTTTATCAAAGAACCAAATGTAATATTTATAATATAAATATTTATATTCTTTTATCATTTTGTTTATTCACACAGCTTACATTATGTAACAATAAATAAGAGAAATGATCATTTCCCATATCAAAACTTATGAACGATGATCAATCGTGATTTGAAAAACATGTTGAAATTTTAAAGTTTGGTTTTCTCATCAATATCAACAAAAACCCGTTTTTCTGGCAGGTGGCAACACTCGTATGAACGCAACATGGTTTCAATGCATTTTCTTTCAATGCGAACTAGTTCTGTGAACTGCAAACGAATCACTAAGCGGCTGATCAGTTGTTTACGTGCTCTCTCGCTCTAACCAATGATATGTCGTATGCTGCGCGCAGCAAAACCAAAACCAATGCAAACATTTAATGCTCTTATACATGCGCAGTTGTTTTTTTCTTCTGACATTCTTAAAGTTGATCCTCTACATTCTTCTTCTTTACAATCAAAACATGAATGTTGTGCTAGTTACACATGTTCAAAAGACCCCAAACGGCGTGTTGTAGTGGATGGGCATAGGGAAAAGCAAATCGTTGCCGCTCTTGTTGATGTTGTAGCTGCCGACGCCAGCGCTGACGTCGCTGGCGACGCAAACGGCAGCGACGGCGACAGCACCAGGCGAAAATAAATCGATAAAAATAAAATAAATTTTTAGTGATTATGTTATATATGTATTTATACGCATACACATGCAGCGCGCATATTTAAATGTATGTGTATATATAGAAATGTGCATATGTATAATTGTCTTCTATATATGTATGTACTTGTGTGTGTATAAGCACTTACCGTTGGGCACATTCTGATTGAAATGATTGCCATTGGTCTGATAGCGCTGCACATGATTGTCGCTGCCCGCTGCAGCGGCCGCAGAGTTCACCGGCGGCGTACCAAATGCGCCCGGTGTTTGTGCATCAAATTTAGCGGCAAACTGATGAATGCCAGAGAAAGGGCCGCCGAATGCGGAGAAATTCATCATGACAGTTTTATGTTGTTAACAGAGATTTACGCATACACGCACAGGCCGCAGTCTCACGCGCGCACACACACACACACAGGCAGGAGCCGCGATGCCTGTGTGGAATTGCTGCCTTTTGGTTTTTAGAGCTTCTGCTCACTGCCCGTTATTATATTTTGGGGCTTGTGTAACACTTTCGCTTTTTTGTTGGTTGTTTTCAAATTGCACTAAACAACACCAACAAGAACTGTAACTGTAACATAAACGTTGCGTCGAGCCTGAGAAATTGAAATACGATCGAATTGGAGAAGCAGAAACAGGCGATGGGCGATGACGATGACGATGACTATGCAGCGCTTTTCTACAGTGGGTGGTGCTAACTTGGCTGGATTTGTTTTTGTAGCTGCCGCTGTTGTTGTTTTTGTTGTTGTTGCTACGATTGTTGGTGGGGGTTGGTTTTTGGTTGGTGTGGTGTGGCGAGGTACACACTCACACTCGCGTATACACGTTGGTATGAGCGCGCGATTGTATGCAGCGCTTTACTTTTTGGGGGTAGCAAAATGTACAACTTTCAATTTCGCTTAAACTAAACACACACAGAGACAAAACACACAACACCAACAGACACACACGCACACACAATCACACACGAGGCAACGTCGAGCGCGACGACGTCGACGGCGAACAACAACAATAATAAAGTAGAATTAAACGAAAGTCACGCTTACAACCGGCTCGTCGAGGCTCCGACATCAAACTAAAAGTAACATTACAACGAAAGAAAGCGGAAACACTGGGGCAGGCAACGGCAATCAGGCGCAGGCAGCGACTGCGACTGCGACTGAGCCAGAGACTGAGAAACAGAAACAGAGACGCCAGCGGCAACAGCGACGCAATGGACAAATGACAGTGACAGCGCAGCTCTCTTTTTTTGTATTAGTTCGCTAATATGTATGTACATACATACATACAAATGTTTGTGAGCATGTGTGTATAGTGCTTGTGTGCGCTGCTTTGAGGGTGGAAGTTTTTCTACTTCTCTGGAAAATGTGCGTTTATTTGTACGTTCTTTATAATGCGTTTCTGGCTGGGTATATGACACTAACCAAACGTTTCAGTTGATTAGCTAACTGCAGATATTAACTTAAAAAAAAGTTTGCAGACATTATATTATATAGAAAATTCTTAAGTTACATAAATAGACGCTAAATTTAAATTTACAACAGATATTATGTAAATCGTTTGTGTACCAAATCAACGCATATTGAACTATAAAATAGTATAATAAACACATTTAAATTATATTTTAAATGTCTTAAGAATTCTATATTTACAGGACATTCGTAAGTCGACCATCACTTACCAGTAAACTCACAAACAGAGTGCCTTGTATTCGTATTTTTATTTGGTTTTCCAACTTTTGGGGTTGTGTGGCCTGGCCGTCGCAGCCGCAGTGAACGGGCCAGTGCATTTATATATGTACTGTATGTTTGTACGAATGTACATATGTATGCATCTATGTTTGTTTATACACGCGTCTATATGTAAGCATTAATGTAGCTGCATGCGTACGTTTGTGTGCCTGTATGTACGTGCATATGTATATGGGATGTCTAGAAACGCACAGCAGCATTCTCGGCCGCGTCGCCGTTGCTGCATTCAATTCTGCTGGCGCTGCCTATGGTGCTTGTGTTAATGAAAGTGAGTGCAGCATCAGCATAAGCACTTGTCTGTATGCGTGAATATGAGGATGGGAGACGCTCTAATAAGAGAGCAGTAGTCGTTGCTCGCCAAAGCAGCAGCAGCCTCTCAGCCAGCAGCATTTACATGCATTTGTTTTTATGCCTGTGCCTGCGCCTGGCCTGCAAGTGTTTTATTGTTTTTCCGATGCCCTACGGCGCGGAAGTTATGCACTTTAAAGCGAACAGAGGCAAATAAAAATTAGAGTACAAAAAGACAAATGGCTTATAGAATCGAAATGCAACATATTAAATACTTTTAGTTTATAATTGTTAGAAAAAATTGGTCATGTTTACCAACTCTGAAACTGGTTTAGAGCGCAGCTAACAGTCGCATAGGCTTAAAAGTCGCTGAAGCGTTTTTCTTCTTTTGTGATCCTGTTGTTGGTGTTGTTGTTCTTTTCCTCCTGCTCTGTTCTTCTATTCGTTGACTTACTATGAGGGTTGGAGTTTTTGACTTTCCATGCGTTCTTTTTAACTCGCATTCGCTCATTCTCTTGCGCTTCTCTCGCCTCGGTTTTGTTGTTGTTGGTGTCTCTTTCAATGCAATGTCTTTGTTTCGGCTGCATCTCTCTCAGAGCTCTTATTGTTACATGTGTGTTTATCTTTAATTTCTATGCATATTTTCCAATTATGCATTTACTCCACGGCCAAATTCAGAGTCTACATGTATGTATGTATGTACATAATTATATATGTATGCACATACATATGAGCTTTATGTTTTTATTAGTTTCTTTATTATTAGCTACATAATAATTATAATTCATTTGGCGGCACAGTAGAACAGTTACACGCACATAAAAGCCTTCTCGTGTATGTACATACATATGTATGTATGTATGTGTGTACATAAATATCTTCCCATACTGTTAGTTGAGACTCCATCTATTAATCACAGGCACAGCCCATATCATCATCGATTCTTTTTGTACATTATATACATGCACATATGTACTTATATACCACTTCCACATTAGTTTTCTGCATTCTAAAGAGCTGCTAATATGATTATCTTTGCCCCATACCAACTGAGATGCCCAACCCGCCATTCCAGGAGAGCTCCGGTTCTTGGCTCCTTTGATTATGTCTAGAAGGAGGGGGGGGGGGGGTGTGGGGGCGTCATCAATCAGGGAGCTTAGCATTAAAATTAAAAAAATATTTCCTCACTATCATGTTTATTCAATTTTATTAATTATTATGAGCTTTTATCTGATGTTTTCATACAGTTCTTGGCTTGAGATATTGCGTGAGGTGTGGATTTTAAGCCTTGCTAATTGAAAACTGCATCAGGAAATTATGTTGAGGGGCTTACATCGTTCAAAATCCCCACATAAGCCGTTTTAAATAGCTGCGTGCTTAAATTCATATATTGTCCGATCTCATATCAAATTTGGCAAATTAAAGGTACGACATACTGTTTGGTAGTTGAAAACTTAAAGTTAAGGCATTTGAGTGCATTCCGTATGAAAACACCAGCATTATAATGCATGCATATATTCATATTCATATATATATATATATTTGTATTTGAGAGGTTACAATTTATAAGTAAATACTTTCAATGTCATTTTATGTCACTTCCATCGAATATGCACCAAAAAAATAATGCCCAGACATACAATTGCCGTACATATTGTGTATATATATTACGATTATTTTACGTATAATATCTTTTAGCTAGAGTATATAAAGAGATATATTGAAATGATCAATGATTTGCTAACGGTTTGGTTTCTGTCCTGGTTGCTCCTAACGAATGCTTACAAAATATTTTTACTTTATATATGATTAGTTATCAAAGTATTGTTTATACATAGTAAAGCCTTGGATTTTTTTGTGCATATTTCTACACTGTGTTTGTTTGCATAAATAAAAAAACAATATCAAATATTAACAAAATTAAGGTATAACAAGGAAAAGTTTGTAAACCCAAAATAAACGTGTCAATTGGCAACTTAAAAGTTAATATCACACAAAATAGTATATATATATAGAATATAACAGCGCAAATAATTGAATTGTTTAAGCGAATGTTCACGTTTCAAATCATAATACAAGGTATATGAATATCGTTTGTGTATATATAAATATTGACAGAGATATATAAGTATATGTTGCAGCTACCATGTCTGTGGTTTTTTTTTTATCAGCAAATATGCTCGAGTATTAGAGTATTAAGCATTGAGTTTTACTTGCTCAGATCTAGCAAAATTATTAAATATATAATAGATCTGCATTGATTATATTTGTATAGTTGGGCGATTTAGAGAGGAAAGCCGAGTGCAGCCGATAGCAGCGGCTCCCAGGCGCGATTTATGTCCAAATAGAGCACTGTGCACTGTTCGGCGAGCGTTTCATCATCGTCCAGTATGGTTATAGGGAAGAGATCGTTCTGTTTGAATGATATATAATATTAAAAATATATTTTTTATAGTTATTTAAAAATAAACGCACATTTTTGGCCTGCCAAAGCTGCTCGAGTAGCCGCAAAAAGCGCTGCATTTCCATGCTGCTCGCAAAGAATAGAATCAAATCATCTTGACATTCCAGTGGCGCCTCCTGGCAGGAGAATTCCAATATGCACCACCAGGTCTCACTATGTGAGGGTATTTTAATGCCAGTCATTGCTTTAATATCCGCACAGGTTAGTATCTCCAGTCCTGAATTTTTGCCATAAACGCTGCTCATGCTTTGCGCTTGTCCTGAAGCAGTTTTTGGTAGAGCTTTGGACGCATCGACCGAGTACTTTGTAGGGGTGGAGTTGAGTGAGGAACAGGAGCGTTGTGTCCCCCGTGTGGGCGTGCTCATGGTGGAGCTTAGCTAAGAGTTTAACAAAAGTTAGAGAGGAGTTGCTTCTCTAGGGAAATGGAATGCTTACCAAGCTGCTGGTTTCGAAGATGCACAACATATCCTCCTCGCGCAGCAGCTGCTTGTTCTCCGCAGCGGCTGGCGGTGTCTCCGGCTCCTTGTTCAGTTGTCGCAGCGGCGCAGCAAAGTCCTCGCGCAGCGTTATCAAATGGTTCTGAGTGACTATCAGAGTGCAGCCCAAAGCCTTGTGCCGCTCTTGCAGCTCGAACAGCTGTCAATGAGAATGTTGGCATATTATTTGTTGATAGTGCTTGTTTGAGCATTTCACAACTTACACCACTCGCTGACTGGAGCAGCGCCTGCAGCCATTCGGAGGCGACATACTCATCCGGCGCCGCCATTTGCAAAAGCTCGCCCTTGAGCATGATCTCAAAGCAATGAGGACGCGCTGATTTGATAGCACGCCTGGCGCCCTGACACTCGGCCAGCGCCATGGCCCAGCTGGGCAGCTTTTGCGTGGAATCATGGAACATGTAGAGCACGCCCGCTCTGTACGATTGGGCACACACATATTATATATGCTAAGTTCTATGCAGTTTCAACTCACTTTAACAAGAAGTAGCCCGGCTGCCAGCTGATCTTCGACGTTGCGGTTGCTGTGGCTGTTTCACGCACCCGCCGGTGCATGAGAAAACCCTTGATGTGCGGCCCCAGCGGCTCCTGTTCGCCATCTAGGCCCATGCCCAGAGCACCGCCAGCGGGCATATTGACCACCGCATAGAACATCCAGTGCTCATCCTTGCCTACGCAGCTGTTTGCACGCACAAACTGCTGCAACGGCGCCAGATGCTCCAGTGTTAGTTGACCAACGGCGGGCAGCGTTGAGCCGCTGCGTCGAGCACACAGCTCCAAATTGGCAACCAGTGCATCGGCTGGATAAGGCCCGCCGGCGAGCAGCACCTGTTGCATGTCCCGCATGCTGTTGCTTAGAAGCACCGTGTTGCCAAAGGGACCCATCTGAGTAGTAGGGGGTTTATTAGATTTAGAGATTTAGATTAGGCTATGAGGCTTACCAATATGACATCCAAATCCTTGTAGGCCAGCACAAATTTTGCGCACAGACAATTGCGTACCAGATCTGTAACGTAGAGCGTTTTATCCGTAAGCAGCACCAGCACCGGCGTCATGAAGCCCTCGCGACTGTAGCCTGTGTACAGCTTGAAGACCTGCAAGGACAAAGTATGTATCATATGAGTGCTCCCAGTTAGAAGTGTTCCACTATGAGATATCCTATACACAGCTCCGAAGCGCAGTCACATACATATTGATCAAACGGAAAAAGAACAGGCTTGTTCTAATCAAATGGGAAAAGGGATAAGCTTGTTCTGCCTATGCTAAACGTAAAGTGTTTCTAGCTCTAATAAGAGCTAAGGTGTGCTTAACCTAAATCGGCTGTGTCTCACCTTTAGCAACTGCTCATTGGGCTCTCGCAGCATGGGCAAATGTTTGCCACTAAATATATCAATGGATATTTCGCCAACGCCCAGTTCAAAGCGGGCAACATCTCCCGGCAAATCTAGATCCAGGCCCACGGCCAATTCGCGTCGCGGCGAATTGGCGCCCGACATCTCAATCTCCATGGCAATCTCGGCATTCAGATCGTCGATCAGCTCGTAATTCTTGGGCCTCACGCCGCGCACATAGAGATTCGAACCCAATTGCTTGTACTCGCTGCGTAGTTTGTCCGCAAAGAAATCATTTTTTTTAATGGAGGATTCGAGTATTTTCTTCTGGGTGACATTGCGCAGAAAGCGATTGATCAGCGAGGTTTTGGCCGCCGGTACGGGCGGTTTCAATAGCTGTGCATAGTCCACGTCGGTGTAGTCCACAATTACAAGATCGCTCTCCGTGGAAGGCCGCTCATTGCCCGTATCCGTGGTGGTGGTTATAGTCAGAATATCATCAAACTCTTCGCTGAGTATGGTGCTCTTCGAATCACGTCCGCTCCCGCCGCCACCAGACGTGATGCCGCCCCGTGCGCCCAAATAGCTGCTCGGACTGTGCAGACTGCGACTGGTCAGCTGCTGCTGCGGCTCGCCATAGCGAGGCGGCTGACCGCAGCGCTTCTTCAGCGGCGATGGCAGATGACGCGATTGTCGCTCCAAGCTGCCCAGCACCAAGCCGTGGACATTGTTTGGGGTTTGCGGCTTATTATAGGATGCGGAGTTGCTGTTCGTATTGTTGCTAATGGAGCTAAGCTCGGATATGGTTGATGAGGAGTGTGTGCTGGGCAGCTTGTTGGGTAACTGTTGCTGCGGCTGCGACTGCTGCGGCGTCTTGGAAATTTTGGAAGCTAAATGGGGGAACCGAAATTTTAAATGAGTATATAAAAGAATATTTATCTTCGGGTAGCCGAAGATTAAAAAAAAACCCTGGAGACCTATAGAAGACATCCGATTTTCTTTATCCCAAGTTAAAGTCAACCAAGTATTCCTTACCAAAATAACTTTCAGTTGCTGCCTGCTGCAGTTGTTGTTGTTGTTGCTGCTGCTTCTGCTCGTGCTCCTTGTCAGCTGACGCATTGCCGGAACTCTCCTTGAGACTGCGAAAGAAGTTGCTAAACGTCTTGGCTATGGGTGCGCCCATAAACGAGCTGCGCAGCTGACTCGCTGGCTGGGCAATGGGGGTGTTCCGCTCCAATAGGCTGGCCACGCTGCTGTGCTGTTTGGCCGACGTGGAGAACAGCAGCTCTGACTGATGCGGCCCGCTGGTCTCGTAGGAGACGCCCGTATGCTCAAAAACGGTGCTTTCACAGTTGATAATAAACTTGCTGCGGAACTCGCTCTGTGTGCCGGTAACATTCGGTGCCACGGCGGCTGTTTCCTTATCGAATTCATCTTGGCGTCGCAGCGCATGCGGCTGCTCTGGGGGTGATGGGTCCGCGGCGCTGTTTTGCTCATCATTTTTGCGACGCAACTGCTCGTCTACATTGTGCACAAATTTCTTGACGCACTGCGCCTGCTTATTGCCATCCAGACTCTTGCTGAGAAAGGGCTTGGCCTTGAGCGGCGGCGAGTCGGGCGACTGGCATGTTGGCGCATATGACTTGGGCTTGTGCTCGGGCGTTTGCTCCAGTTCCGGCACGCACTCCACCACCGATTGCAAATCCTCGGAGCCCTCAGGCACACCACGCTCGGGCAGGGGCATGGTAAAGATGCTCTTCAGCGAGCCGAATATCATTTTGCTGCTATTGTCCAGCAACTGATGCTTTATGTCGTGCACATTGAACTTCTTAACGCGATCATTGAGATCCTGCTCGTGTATAATGTTGGTGTGGCGTTTGGTTTTCTTCAGGCAGCTGGACTTGGGTTTCTTCTCCTTGTTCCACACGGATTTCTGCTTGGGGCTGCCGGCATCCCCAATATTGGGCTCCGAGTAGTAACAATTGTCACCTGGTTTTCATAAAGTTAGTAATTATAAGATTAAGTATAAGAGTAGTATAGATAATAAGAAGACCTACCAATTAAATTATTGTTGGCATTACTCATGCCAATGCAATCGCAGGAGCTACTCTTGGCCTGCTCATAGTGTTTGCGATTGTCATTGGAATTCTTGCTGTTGGAGTTCTTGTCCTGCTCATCGGAGTCCAGGCTCGAATTGGAGCTGCTGCAGGCGCAGCGATAAAGCAATCGTTCATCCCGTTGCTTCGCTTCTGCTGTGGGCGCATACTCAAACACGCCGGAATTGTCATATTGCAGACCCACTGGCTCATTGGTATCATAGATATCCGTGTTGCCATAGTCTAGCACATCCGAGCAGGCATTGCGATAGACCAGTCGACGATTCTGGCCTGTCGCTCTGTCGCCGGCCACCTGTTCGGCATCGCGACCAGCTGCGCTAAGCTCGGTGGGCGCCTGCACGCGCTCCCGTTCTGCGCACCACGAATAGCGGCCGGCGGCACCGGCCACGCCTGCTGAATTGCCACCCACCACGGCCAATTTGCGTCCATTTTTGTATGTGATAAAGCCATGCTCTATGTGTATGTTGTCGGTGCGTGTGTTTTTAAGGATATCCTCGTGAAATGACACGCGCTTTTTGGGCGCCTTTGGGGTGGATGAAGTTTTGTGCACCTTGCGCCTGTATACGATCTTTTCAGTAGTATCAAAGGTCGAACAAGCGCTGCTGGTCATGGTCTCCTCCGCGGCCACATTCGAATTGCTGTCCACAGGCGGCTTCGCCTGCTGCTGTTGACTGAGAGCTGGTATTGGCTTCATTGGCTCCTCGAAGTCCAGACCCGACTGGGAGCAAAGCGACTCGAGCATAAAATCGCTATTCTCCGAATCCAGCATTTGTACGCCCGAATCACTAGGCGTTGTATCCTCCAAGCTGCTGCTATTCATGCTGGAGCTCATCTTGTCGCCGCTGGGCGAGACCTTGGCGCTCAGATTGTTATTGACCTTGGGATATAGCGGTGATTCCATTACGACATCGTATGCATATGTCTCGCGTTGTTGTGCCAAGACCAGCGTCTCTGCTGATTAAAGTTTGTGTCACTTTATTTTGTTGAAATATTTGTCTATACGATAATTTTAACGAATATTTGTCTGTAGCCAATTAGAAATGCGCTTTAATGATAGAAAATAAATAATTTGATCAAATATTAGTTATTTTTTCCGATTTTTATTCGGGGTTTTGTGTATCTTGGTTTTCTGGCAAGTAATCAATATCAATAGAAATTGCACACTGCGCCGCAGCCGCATCACGTCACTGTGCAACAAAGGAGTACACGGGCGACCCCACGACCCCTCCTAGTTAACCCATCCAACTGTGCCGAAAAATCTTAACCACTTGCAACCGCAAACTTTAACGGTTTATTAACAGCACCTACCTTCGATTTGTTGGGAAAATTCCATGTTAAACTTGTGCTCGGCACTGTTCATTAATTTATTAACTTATATTTTATAGTTAATCTGTGTTTTAACTGTTTTTTAGTTACATTTTAAAATAAGAAGTACACACACAAGTAAAACAAATCAATATTTATCATACGAAACGCAGCGTTGCCATCAAGTTGGCAGGCTGCAACTTTTGGGCAACTCATGTGCACAGCTGTGCTGCGTGTAGGGATACATCTGGCAACGCCCAACTGTTAACAACAGGTGAACATTATTTACGCGCTATTTTAAACGCTTTTTTGAAATTGATTTGTACTTAAATAGAGCAATACGTAAGTAGCAAATCAATTTGTGGAATAATTGGCTTGAAATGTGAATTTTTTGCACCTACACAATCGCAAGCCCAGTTATGTCAATTATCGTTAAGGCATTACGCATATTCTACTTTTCATGCTTGCATAGGGTATAACAATTTTGTGGAAACATTTGTCGCACAAGCAAGGCTCTTAGCTTGATTTGCTGTGTCTACCTCTTCAATTCTCTCTCAATTCCAAGCAACACTTATTGTGAGGTATGTGCGTTTCGGCTTTTTGAAAACCGATTGCCATTTGTACGTCTGTTTTGCACATACCTAGGGCATGTCATTTTTGAAAAGTACAATAGCAAAAAGAGAAATGCCAATGAAAACGAATGAAACCATACAAATTAAATATATCACACCTTGAGCAGCGCACAGCCAACGCCTGTATAACTCTTAAACTTTTTATTGTTAGGATTTGCCGTATAAACGGAAAGAAGAAAAAAATTGTTTTGCATTTATTAAATAATCCAATAAATTACATTCAAATGCGACAATCGAGCTAGAAATGTTTTTGAGTTCTATCGGTCAATTATAAAATGTCAACCACATGAGAACAATGTGCCGTAAAACTATGAAGCTAAAATACAAACGTAAAAAACAACACGTGAAAACGCGCAAAACTATGCAATATAAATAAATGTAGTAAATAGCCGTTATTTCAAATTAATTTATATTGGATATTTCGAAAACGCAACGGCGTGTGTATTCAAAATGCAAATGCCAAATATATTTAGACAATTAAAACAACACAATTTCCTGGTTACGGTTGCAATCTATATGCATATAATAGAAAAATCAATTCAATTATGTGATTGTGTTCATGGCTACAGGTAATAAATAGAAAAATTAAATAAAATATATTTGCCAAGCTGGCAAATAGCGTATTGCATCAGACAAGGCTGCCCCACATAACCTCAACAAAGTCTAGTATGCTGTTCTTATTTGCTTTGCCACAGAAACAATACAGAGAGCGCCGAGCTGGTTTCTCATTATGAATCAAGTCTATCGCTGCCAGATATATTGCCCATCCCATCCAAAACCTATGACAAGAATCGCGCACCTAAGCTGCTGGGCCAGCCGACCGTTGTTTATTTTCATGTGACTGTACTCTCACTGGACTCGATCAACGAGGAGTCCATGGTAATAATATTTAAAAAGTCTGGCAAGCTCTGGAAGTCAAGTATTCTTCTGCAGTGTCCAAGCACTCTGGTTTATTGATCCAGTTTCTATAGTTAATCGCATTTTTACAGACCTATGTGACGGACATATTTTTAGCACAAAGTTGGCGCGATCCGCGTCTGCGCTTGCCGGAGAACATGAGCGAACAGTATCGCATATTGGACGTGGATTGGCTGCACAGCATCTGGCGACCCGATTGCTTCTTCAAGAATGCCAAAAAGGTTACATTCCATGAGATGAGCATACCCAATCATTATCTCTGGCTCTATCACGACAAGACCCTGCTATATATGTCCAAGCTGACGCTGGTGCTGTCGTGCGCCATGAAATTTGAATCCTATCCACACGATACACAAATCTGTTCCATGATGATAGAGAGCCGTAAGTTTGAGAATCCCTCATATGGGGGCAAATCTGTAATATTCTTTATTTCCAGTATCTCATACGGTGGAGGATCTGGTATTCATTTGGAACATGACCGATCCGCTGGTGGTGAATGCTGAGATCGAGCTGCCACAATTGGACATATCCAATAACTATACGACCGATTGTACCATTGAGTATTCAACAGGTAAGTGCACAGATGCTCACTGAAAATTCTCTAAATCTAAATCTCAGTCTCTTTCAATTCTCTTAGGCAACTTCACCTGCCTGGCCATAGTCTTCAATTTGCGTCGACGCCTGGGCTATCATTTGTTTCACACCTATATACCCTCGGCCCTGATTGTGGTCATGTCATGGATATCGTTTTGGATCAAACCGGAGGCCATACCGGCGCGTGTTACCCTGGGCGTCACCTCGCTGCTTACGCTGGCCACACAGAATACACAATCCCAACAATCGCTGCCACCGGTGTCATATGTTAAGGCAATCGATGTATGGATGTCCTCCTGTTCGGTTTTTGTATTTCTATCGCTAATGGAGTTCGCTGTGGTTAATAATTTTATGGGACCGGTGGCCACCAAGGCAATGAAGGGTTACTCGGATGACAATATCACAGATCTGGATGACTTGAAGGTTAGTTCGGGCATAGCTTAATCTTATTTAAATTGGCTGAAACTGTAACTGCGTAGTGCGTCTTTGCAGCACCATCATCGGGAGTCTATTATAGAGCCACAATATGATACCTTCTGTCATGGTCATGCTACCGCCATCTTTATAGATAAATTCTCGCGCTTTTTCTTTCCCTTCTCGTTTTTCATCCTCAACATTGTTTACTGGACGACGTTTCTTTGATCCAATGTGGAGGCAGCTCTTAACTAGTCATTAAGTAAAATTAAAAAAAAATCATAGAAAGCGCATTTGTTTAAAAATGTATAAAGTTTGTAAACCACAAATGAATTTGCAAGAAAAATATATGATATACGTATAAATAACATATATTACATTATTGTATTGTATAAATAAAGAAAGGCGTTTATTAATTAAATTTAATTCAAAGGAAGAAATTAAGAAATGCATTTTAATTGCGCAACAAAGGTGGAATTATCTTTGGTATTTTTACTATATAAGTATGTATGTATGTAGAGTTTAGACATATAGCATATATATATGCACTATGTATATATATATATAAAAATGTATATAAAAAGTTGCTATCGTGGTTTCCTTCTCTATTCCCAATACACTTTTCCTTCATTCTTGTCAGCATTATACGTATAATCACATGATATTATAGTATCCTTCTTTATATATGCACATTTACAGTACGTTTTTTTTTTGATTAGTTATTTTTTACTTTTTACTATTTCATTTGTTTAGCTTTTGTCGCCTACATTAATTGCTGCTAAATATTCATGTAATTTATGCATTATGCGAGTGTTAATAAACAACTTTTGACACTAATTCAACTTATATATGTAAAAATATTTCGGTTATAAATAATACACACAGAGCTACTACAGATGCAGAGTAATACACGCGTTGACAAATAAATACTCTCTCAAGTATAAAAAAAAAAAGGGAAACATTAATAATAATAACGTTAATTGGATTGTCCTACAACAAAACAAAACATTCAGCAGAATATATATATATAGAAATAGGTAGGGGAGCAGAAAACGAGGAACACGCATAGAACGGATGCCTACGCAGAAGTTGCGGGGGAGGATTACTTAATAGAATGCCAGGATTTAATAACAAATGGTATTTTGTTGCTGCTATGGCTATGGCTGCTGATTGTGATGGATTATAATTCTACTGCAAACAGGCCTGCAGCTTTTCAGTCCACTCCTGCGCCAGATTCGCATTCATCGCATAGAAGTTATAGGTGCGTTTCGAGGTTTTTAGCTATAAGAAATGAGATGGATTAGATATTTTCAATTTTTTTTAGAGTACAGAATCAATTTACATCAAAGAAACCCTTTTCGTCGACGCGCTTTGTGCCAATTTGTGCGGGTTGTGCGGCCGTCACCGACTGCACCTCGGCTAGCTCTGTTAAATTAAGAATACATTTACAGATAATTTCTATTTAAATTCAATAAACGTGATTTTACCTATAAAGCCTTTGGGCGCTGTATCATCGGATGTGTCATAGTAGCGCAGCTGATGTTTAATCGAGTCCAGAACAAACCAACGCTGTTTCCAGCCCTTGAGCAGGGCGCCACGTTTATAGAGATGTCTTAAAAATATATGTATAAAGATATAATAGATAGGTTCAGTATATGGAGCTTACCCTTCGTGTGTACGATTCTCGGCAACATTGCTGCTGAACTGATTATAGAAATGATGACTGGAGGTGCGCGCGGTGGTCGCTGCACTGGATGCAATGCTGGCAGTGTCACCCTGAGACATGTTGACATTTGGCGGTCCCACGGTGCCGTCTATGGCCTTGTACTTGGTGCAATTCTTCATGGAAAGTTCGGTGCACTTTTCATGGTAGGAGTTGCCACAGTCCATGCACCGGTAGCCAACAGGTCCCCAGAGCAGCTTAGTGCAGTGATTGCAATTGGTGGGCGTCGTATATGGATGCTTCTCAAAGCGATGCGGATGAAAATACTTATCCTGATAGCCAGCGAGGCGTCCCTTCATAATGATCTCGAGCGTGGAGCGTTTATGCTGATGCGTTTGCACCAGCATGCTGCTGAGCGAGGTTTTGCGCGACATGGGCTCCATATGTGGCACTACAAGATTGTTCCACACCAGCTGCCACTTTTGTGGCAGATGACCGCGCTCTGTTTCCGCCTGCTTCACCTCGCTGAGCAGGCACACGTAGGCATTGGGATTGCACTTCTCAATGTTGTCATAGCCGGCACTGATGACCATACGTTTGCCCTTGATTTCGGATAGATCGATTTCATCATCCACATTGGTCACTTCCAAATCGTAAGGGGGTCCCTGTGCCAACTCCTCGTTGGTATAGAAGCCCCACAGATCCAGGGCAGCTACGCTATTCTGCGGACGCAGCACCACATCCTTGTTGGAGGAGTACAGGAAATTATAGAAAATGGGCGATTTGTTGTGCTGCCGTTCGATATAGTCAAAAATCGAGTGTCCGATGCGATTCAGTTGTGTGGGCGTTCGCGGACTGCGTATGTCCAGCGGATAAACATTGCACTCATCATCCGAACCATTCGCAGCACTGCCGCCACCACCAAACATATGCTTGGTGCTCAACGAGCCGCGTTTATCCTCCATGGACGCAATGCCGGAATCGTAGCGCTCCAGCTCGCAGTCAAAGAGGAACGTGCGAAAGCGACACGAGACCACATGATATGCCAGAAAACGCAAATAGAAATCATTGAACTCGAAGGCCATGGGAAACTGTCGCTGCAGCTGATAGACCACATCGAGAAACTGCAAAAAGGTGGGCGCAAAGGCAATATTCGTGCTAGCATGCGATGCCTTCAGATTGCTGCGATGGGCAAAGCGATGTCCGAATGCCAGCCACTCCTTCTCTATCAGCACACGAAAGCCATCGATGCTGCGATAATATGGATCCAGACAGAGCTGTGCAATGGCTGAAAGCTGGGCGGTAACATCGGACCCATCTTCTAGCGACAACATGACGCTGCTCTCCTGCAAATCAATAAGGTCCACCACGGCGCCGGATAGCTGCAGCAGCGTTGAGATTTGCTGCAACCAATCGGATTGCTCCACCATCTTGGGAAAACTCTGACCATCCGCATCATTGGCATTATGCGAGGGCATGCAGGCGCGTATTAGTTTTTTAAAAGCTGAACGGGATTGCCGTATATCCGGATAGTCGACGGGTATGAAATCCGCACAGAAGTCACCATTCAAATTCGACTTGCCCTGCGATTTTTCACCTGTCAAAAAACAAAACATGTGATTTCCAATTTTTTGTGACTTTGATTTGCGAACCTACCCAAGGCATATAGCCGCATCTTGCGAAACGCATGCGCCGCTGAGCTCCTTTCATTGCCCTTCATCGTACCAGCTTTGTTGCCCGCACCGCCGGATTTGCTGCCATCCGTAACACTTAAATTTGATCTTTGCTTGCGCATCAGCTCGGGCGTTAGAGACTGATGGTCCTCGCTATGTCCGAGCAGCGAGTTCATCGAGAGATTCATGCCTGTATACTGATTGAGTGCGTCCAGCGGCGTCAGCTTGGGCATTGTATTGATCAGCGCCATGAAATACTTGTCCTGCTCCGGATAATGGGTGACATCATTGTGCGTCATGGTATTCCCGCCCGTTGTATTCTTAATCATGCCAATTACGGATTTGCTATTCGGCTGTGCTCCGCGTATGAGCAGTGATCCATTGTTGTGCCGCCAGGTGGGCAGCGGTATGCGCTGACCCTTAAAGCAGCGTCCCAGATGCGTCATAGCTGCATCGCTGCACTGTACCGGTGCCACTATAATGGCCGGATAGGTGCAACACGTGGCATAATTGGCATTGGCATTGCTTATGCGAAAGCCGAGCTGTGCCTCCGCATCGAAACCCAAGCGTTTCCAGTCCCGCACATAGCTGCGCTCGCGCATTCGCTCGATATCCTTGGTGGTTAGCAGGCGTGGCAGCGCCTCGTTCTGCTGTGTCTCAAACTCGTCCGCCTCCTCGAGCTCGTCGTCTATGGAGTTAGTTTCCAGTGCATCCGCGCTGCCGCCGCCGCCGCTACTCCTGCCCAGCTCATACTCCGGCACCAATTTGCGTTTCGTTTGCGTCTTCTGCTTAAAGCCAGCCTTTTGGGCCGTGCGTAGCAGGGTCTTCTTGGCAAAACCCTTGAGCGTTGAGTACTTTTCCTTGGTCTTCAACGGCACAACGCCTTGGAGCATGGTGCCATAGGATTGAAATGCGAAATACTCAAATTCATCGCGTGGATGTCGCGCCTTGTTTAGCGTCTTGCGAAACGTTTCGATTTGCTCCAGCGTCACCTCCGTATCGAAGGCAATCTTGAGCAGTTGAAAGCAGCTAGAGCGCAGCTGCAGTCCATCTGGCAGCGTCTGATCCACATGTGCCAAATATAGCATTGATATCTTCTTCTCTTTGAGCAGCGAGGCAATGGGAAAGGCGCGCACAATTGTCTGCTCGCAAAAGAGCGGATCACAGGGCGAGCCCTTGAAAACAATGCGATAGTTGGTCAAAAATAAAGCTCCCTCGGCGGGTATCAAGCACTGGGTGTCATCTTCGCGTCCGTCCGGCATGAGAAAGCACCGCAAGTGATCGGTGGCCATTTCTTCGCCGGGCAGTAGGCAAGGCGTTTGGATCTTGGGCTTTTGCACATGCGGATGCCGTTTGGCCTCGAGATAAACTGGCTCCAGGGATTCAATGTGCATGTGTACCACGCCCGGCACCATGTCGTGCAGATTGCGTATATGCTCTGATGTGACGCCACCCTCCGTGCAGACGCAATCAATGAAACGCGAGATGGTCTTGCCCACGGTAACTCCTATCTCGGAAGCATCATTCTCCTCGAAACCCTCATCGGAATGTTCGCTCAGGCTGTGCGAGCCCATAATACTGAAAGTAAATTACATCGATTAGATATTCAGTCAGCCAGTTATCCAGTTTTACGTAAATTGTTTGATATAGTCATACCTATTGGAAACGCTCTGGTTCTCCTCGAGCCGGAAGGCCAGCTTGGGCTTGCTGGCCGCATCCACATTGACGTCAAGCGGTATCAGCAGGGAGACCATGCGATTGGCAAAGTGTATGGCCTGGCTGTAGAGCGTGGACTCTTCCGATTTGGCCAGCTCAGCCTTTTTCTCCTCCTCGATGGTGGGACTTTTCCGCAGCTGCTCTGCGGTTATTTCCAGCGCCGTTGGCTCCTCCAGCGGCACCTCGTCCAGCACACAATTGGCCTCTTTGTTGTGTTCGTTTTGGCGGCGCTGAAGCAAATAGAGTGCCTTGATTTGTGCCTGCACATCCTGAAAGAAACTGGACTCCCAAAACTGCAAATTTTTCCATATTCCATGATCCTGTATCTCCGTATAGGCGAACTGTACCACGCCCATCGAGAGTTTACGACAAAATATAGTAGACATGGGCAGCAAAGCGGCCGCCACGGTGTACTCATCCACGCCCGAGGAATTCTGCAGCGCTTTGTTCATGAAGCGCACCACCAGATCAAATTGCTGATGATCTAGGACCGCCTTATTGCCATGCACATAGCCAAAAAGCTCGCGGCACAGGATGAGCCGGGCATCCCGATGCTTAAGCGTACGCATGACCGCGGGCAACAGTTTTCGCGCATCCGCAATGCGATTTTCAAAGATGTAGGCGACACAGGTGCGCAGAACCTCCAAACGACGCACCGAATTGTGCACCGTTGTTGGACGCACGTCCAGCGCTTCGGGCAACCTGGGACCCATGGGTATAATTCTGTGCTGATTGCGTGTTACATGAAAACGCTGCGACTGGCCATTCTTGCGTATGCCCTCCTGTATGATCAGCTCTACCTTATCAACGCTTATGCGTGGAAACGCTGGCTGATGGATGCGCTGAAACGCGCCCTGCGGTGGCCGGAGCACCTTCTGGGCATAAGTGGCGGGCGCAATAGATGCTTCGTTCTCGTACAGCGTGCGTCCCAGCTCCTGGATATGTGTGAGTATCTACAGCAGAGAAGAAGCAAGCATTAGTTTAACATTAAGTAGACATTTTTGCTTACATACGAGATTCCGATTTTGTGCTTCCGTTTTGAGCAGCTCGTTCATGGAGCTATACAGTTCATCCCAGGCATCAGCGGCACGCCAGGGTGGTCCTCGTTCATTAACAAATGTCGTAAAAAACATGCTGTCGAGGACGCGAAACAGAAACTCGCTTTCGATTAGATCGCGAGCGCCTAAAAAGCCAGCCTTATGAAATGTGATCACCGTTTTGGGGTGAATGCGTATTATGGTCAGGCAGGAGCGATAGCCCTGGAGCAGCTGTGCAAACAGGCGCATAAATATCGCGCGTAGCTCCTTATCAATTTGTGCCTCCGTCTTAGCTATCGTTGAGGTGGGCCGCTCATTATTGGGAAAGGCGAGATCGGCTTGCGCCAAATTGGGAAAGAGTATCATGCTGAGCAGATCCTGCGTTTGCTCCCACAACGGGGATGGAAATATAGGCACCGGTGGCGTCAATGCATCCGGTATGGTCACTAGACCACCATCCAAATCTACCACAATGACATCCAGCAAATCCGTGATCTCTGTTTGCAGCGAACTGTGTATGCCCATTATAAAAGGCGTCGGCGTGGACAGCACCTCCGTGAGCGGCGCTGGAAGTATGGGTATATACACGTGCGTATAACGAAATGGATACATGAGCGCAACCAATGCCCTGCAGCTGTCGGTCAGATGCCAATAGCACTTGGAGTGAAAGAGTATTTTGTTTTCGGTCATCACGGCGCACAGCAATATCAGCACATTTTTAATACCCAGCTGTTTGAACAGAAAATAGACACCGCTGCCCGTCGTCGGCAGGGAGGAGCTCTGTGGCGGCTGTAAAGATTGTTTGTCACCCGCTCCAATGGAGAATCGCACTTGGGGACCGCCCGCGGGTGGCACCTGAATGCAGCCGAGTATGTTGCCAATCAGATTCTCCATGGCATATGGCAAGTTCTCAATATATACTGTGTAGATGGTGCCCAGGCAGTTCTGTAAATTAAAAGGTATATTCAATATTTAGCTCGTTTATAATTAAATCTAACGATTTATAGTCATAACTGTTATATAACATTTTTGTGGTATGTTTATGATATTATTATTATTATTATACATTGTCGGTTGAAGTGTTTTTATTTTTATTTTTAGCCTTTACCTTAAAAGTCTCCGCACAATCCAATCGGGATATGAGCACCAAACACTTGGGAGCATACATAATGCTGTGATGCGTTATGGCCTCCACGGGTGGCGGGCCCAGCAAACCGCGGCTGCAGTTGCCATTGCTATTATTGCCAATGGTCTCATCCTCATCGTCCACGCTGCGTGTCTGGGTGATGGCCAGCGTTTCGTGGAAGCTCAGGCACGCACAATAATGCTTATTCGCATCGATATCGGTGAGCACGGAAATGAAGAATTTCGGCTCTTGTTTCTCATACGATAAATTCCAGCCCAGCGGCTGGCAGAACTAAATTTGTAATTATGTTGAGTTAATTACGTCTAAATTAAGAAACAAAGCCTACACTCACCCATTCGATGCCCTCGATGAAGGGCGTGTCGGGCCAATCTTTCTCAGGAAAACGTTGCACAATTTTGCCGCATATTGGCTGGCCGCTGACATTGCCGGCAGTCTCTGCAGACAAATAAAACAAATGTGGATTATATACATATTTATTGATGTATGTATGTCGCACTCACTTTCTTTGTCGTTATCGTAGCCAACAATTACAAAGTAATCAGCGAGCCGGGACATCTCGTACGCTTACGCTACAGCTGCACATTGCAGTCTAACTTGGAACTGGTAGGGGATCTGGGAGACTTTTGCTGTTTTTTATTGTTGTTCTTGTTGTTTGTGTGTATGTGTGTGTGTGTGTGATGGGGGCTGCTGCTTCAGATTTTTACGTTTGCCAAATCTACAAAGTAAAAGCACAAAACGAATAAAACAATAGTGTTGTTGTTGGTGTATTTTTTTGTTTTCATATACACACAACCGCTTTGGCCGCCTGCCACAAACTCATTTGCATACAACAAAAAAAATTTGAAGCTTTCAATTAATATAGCGCGGCGTTTTGTGTTTGGCATAAGTAATTAGTTGGCATTCTTTTTGCCTTTTTTATAAGCAAACACATTTTTAACGTACACAAATTTTAAGCCACAAACCACACCCCGCCCCTATGTGTTAGTCCAGTTGGTTACATGTATGTGTTTCACTATATATACATTTCTGTTGAAATTCACATATATGTATATATGTACCGTTTAACTGCTGGCAATTTTTAAGCGTCTAGTGTCTGGCACTTTTATTATAAACAAATTACTTTAACTTTTAGATTTTTCATGCCTGCGGAATGTAGGGTTGTTGATATGCTATCGATATTTTTAGACTTATGATTCGATGTATCTTAACAGTGCTATGCAACGGTTTTTTTATGGTCAAAATCATTATGCAGCACTAGCAATTGTGGCGCATTCAAGTAAATTTTTCAATTCTTCTAATTTTAAATTGCACAGCTATTTAAGCAGCTCAAAATAAGCATATATGAGGAAGCATCTTTAATAAACAACTTATGCTTTTACTAGTACTTTTAAATGTTGTGGCATTTGCTTATCGATGTAGCGCATTGCAAAAGTCCAAGTATCGATACATCGATACTCATAGTAGTCAGTGTGTGTGTGATTTTTTCCCTACGACGTTCATATTTTTGTGCTATTTATGCGATTTTAGTAAAGTTTTTGGACTTTTAATCTCAGTTTTATATAATTAGATCGGTGCATAAGCAATTAACGCATGTGCTTGCTACAAAAATACATTAAGCAAATGACTGCGTCTTTTGCAAATTAGCAGTTCCCCAACATTGGCATTAAGGTGTCTTGTCGGGCTTCGGGCAGCAGGTAAGCTACAGACGCTCTCCCTCTGTTCGTCTCGCAAGCTCTCCCTATTCGCGGTCTCTCTCTCTGTCTCACTTACCCACTCTCATTGACCACCAAAATATTTTGCTCATTTCGTCTTATTCTGCTCACAGCTGTTTTTGGGACAGTTCTCAATTTCTTATCAAAGCTGCAATTCAAATAAAACTTTTATTGCATTAACGCGATTTTCGAGCGAAATGTGTAATGCCCAATGCATAGCCAGAGCCAAGTAAAAATCAGGTGACACTAGGACCCATTGACTGATGTGTGGAGTTTTCAACCCAATTCATTCATGATTGGTATAACATGAATAATGTAGTGCTACAGTGAGCATTCGAAATAAATTATTGACATCTCTCAAATACTTATAAGCATAAAATATTGTAAGTTATTTAAAAAAAAAAAAACAACAATCACAAAATATGTTGTACTTTCTAATACAATTTTTCAAGGGAAACCTAATTACATCATAAAAGATAACTAGCCTGCATAATCTCTTTATTGTTTATATTGTACGTTCACCGACAGTCAGCAAATCAGTCGATCCGTCAGGACAAGCTGTTAAATACCATGTTTGTTATTGGTTATGAATTATTGGTTAAATGAATTACATTATCAAGCAGCCAGACAATCATCAGGCAGCTAGTTAACCAATCTGTCAATCAGTTGGCCCGATAGGACAAATAGTTATGTACTATATATGTCAATATATAGTTAATTGACGCAGTAGGCGTCTTAAATATATATATGCAACATTTTTTGTTTTGTTTTTCTCATAATACTCATATTTATGTCATCGCGCAGACACATTAATAATTTTTCTCATTTATGTTTCTCTTTAAAAGTAAAAACCAAAAAAAAAGCGTAAGCATGGAAAATGAACAGGATGAACTCAGACACAGACATATGCAGGAACAGCACCGTAATCAGCATCATGGCGTACCAATCGGCTATTCGGATGTTATGCTACAGCTTGGCGGCCAGGAGGGGCGTAAGTGCAACGGCTTACTATATGTTTTGGTATTAATCAAATGATTGTTTGCATTCTAGAACGCTCACCATATGCTGTATACTTTGAACAGCCACGCGATGCGCTGCCGGATAGCTATGTTGTAATGCCCACCTATTCACAGACATCCATAGACATGCGAACAGCACAGCAAACATCAGCAACTGCAACAGTCTCTGGTGGTGGTGGTGGTGGTGGTGCTGCTGCTGCTGCTGGTGGTGGTGATGCTGGTGGTGATGGTTATTCGCCCATGTTTCAGTATCAGCCGGCGCCCAGAAATCTAAATCGAGAATCCTATGCGGAGCCGGCAAGCTCAACGGGCAACAAATGCTGGAAATGCAATATCGTACGCGATATCTGCCATTGCAATCGGCTGGCGGAGAGCAATGCCGGCTATCCGACGCCCATGGAGCATGTGCATTCCACACAATCAAATGGCGCTGGCGCCGGCGAGCCAACGCAATTCTTTGAGCTCAGCTCGACGTCAACGGCCGCCACAACCACGTTGTCAGCGGCGGCGGCGAGCAGTGTCAGCAATAGCCGCACGGACAGCGCCCAGTTCATTCCAAATTACACACAACGTAAGACTGAAACGGATGGCCTGTCGTCGCAGCAGCAACAACATCAGGAGCAGCAGCAGCAGCAGCAGCAGCAGCTGGATTTGCCAGCCGAGCAGCAGCACCATGAGAATAACAACAGCAGCAACAATAGTATGAATCCGAGCAGCAGCGAATCGCATTTAGACAGCATCTGGCCTGCTGCCATGGATGATCATGCTGTGGATGAGCAACTACTGTTGCAGGCTAGAAACAATTCGGCTGCTGTCTACGAACTGCCCACCAGTTCGCTTTTGAGCTCCAACAACAGCAGCACGAACAGCTCCTTTGAGGCGAACAGCAGCAACAGTAATAATAATGCGCATTTGGTTAATGGGAATGCCACGGCCTATGATGATGTCACATCCAGTGCATCGGATACGGAGCATGTGCAATTTGCAAATACGCGCACCACTAACACAACCACGACAACCACATCGGCGGTGCAAAAGAAAAAGCATCAACAGAATCGTAATCGGAATGGCAGTGCAACTGGTGCTGTTGAGGCATCGTCAGCATCCGCTACCTCATCGGTCATTGAGCTGGATGCAACGCCCAGCACCAGCGCCCAAGCGCAGCAGCAGCAGCAGCAACAGCAGCAGACGCAGCATCGCAGTCGCCACGTCTATCGACGGCGGATATTTCCCAGCGTGCTGGAACATGCGGGCGACAACAGCAGCGATGATGGCTGGGATTTGCGAGCGGTGCGACCGCCAAGCAGCAGCAGCAGCGATCTGGACGCACGCCATGCCGATCATACGTATTTTAATAGTCGTGGTTATATGTTTGATGGGCTGCCGCCACCACCACCACCACCGCCCGATACCAGCTACATGCGTTCCACATCCGCCTCCTGCACAACGGCCACACACACCACCTGTAGCGTGGACTATGGTGGTCGAGATATTTGCGGTGTGCATCGTTTGAACAACGATAGAAGAGGCCCCACGCCCACAGTGGAACAGCATCAGCAGCAGGAGCAACGACCCGCAGCGGTGCTTAAAGCCTGCTTTGGTTCGGGTCTGGGCAGCGGCATTGTGCGCACACGCTCCCGTGTTCGGTCCATGGATGAGTCATTACCAGCCGGCAACAGCAGCAGCAGTAGCAGCCACAGCTTGTGTCAGCCACCCAGAAAACTGGCGCGCCTGGAGACGCGCAGCGATGTGCAGCTATCCTCCTCCAACATGTCCAGTTTGTCGCCAACTAACTTCTATGCATTTCAGCCAGGTCGTCATCGGCATCGCACATATGCAGAACTGGCCAGGAGCAACGAACGGCAGGTAAGACGGCGCAATCAGGCTGCTGAACTCTCTTTAAAAAATTTGTTATGTGTAATTTATCAAAGGAGAATTTATATTCTCTAGATCTAACCCTTTCCGTCGGTTTCTTTACCAACTGCGTTCTAACTAGTTCCCAAAAATAATGCATAACTATGCCATATTTTGGTTACCATGGTTGAAAATCAAGTTGAACTAAGATTTTAATACTAGAATAAGTGTGTTTAGAGGCAGATACCAAGGCGATACAATCGCCACCATTTCACAATTTAACAAAAATGTATTTTCCGTCTAAGCCATTCTGGTGGTTCGAACCATTAACTTTGTGCTTAAGGTACCGCCGCTTAGCCCACTACGCTACAGAAGCATGCCAGAAAATATGGGACAACATTGTGTAGTAGATAAAAAACCAATTTAAAAAGAAAATTTCGTTATTCTACGTTATTTCATATTTTTTTAAAATCCTGGATTTGAACCAGTGACCTCTCGCTTGTTAGTACAGCGATCAAACGCCAAAGCCAGTTCATATCTGTTGTTTGTGATATTTTTCGTACAAACATTAAACATTTTTTCCCAATTAAAGGTTAGATTTTCACTTTCGACTTTGGGATTAGGACTGTGTGTAGTTCCCTGTCCGGATAAACTCTTTACAGAATTACCTCATTAAATGGATTTACATTTAGGTTTATTTATTTATTTATTTTTTTTTAAACTTTACTGTCAGATTTCAGTTTTAAAAAATTTACAATACAGAATTTTCTAAAACCTATAAAATAGGCCTATAGAGATTATATAACTTTGAATATATTATATTATATTCATTCATTTTCGTGTTTGTTTTTCGTTTTGGAAACATTGAGCTACCAGAATTAAGCTTTTTGCAGTAACAACTATATATATTTATATATCGCACTTCGCATATGTCTGAAAGGGTATTTAAACTTCGGCAAACCAAAGGCGAAAGTTCCTGCTCGTACTCACTGATCTTTTTTTACCGTAGGAGGCTCAACAGTCAACGATACAGACGCCTCAGCAGCAACAACAACAGCAGAGGACACAGCAGACAAGTGCCGGCTCCTGTGTGATAACCTATGTGGGCAGACCGCGCGAGCCAGATGGCAGCAGGACGGCCAGGTCAGGCCCAACGGAGATGTCCAATGTGCTGCCATCCACATCGACAGGCAGGCGACATCACAATACACACACGAATTCCAATGGAGATAATGCGGTGCTAACAGCGCCCGATCTGCAGCTGTTGGACTGGTCCTCCGATTCGAATGATGAGGACGACGATGTGGTATTTGTGCACTCCACACGCGAGCCAATACTCTCCATAGACCTGACCTCCGATGATGATGGCTTTGGTGGCAGTAACGAGGCGGCGCTGCAGCAGCAGCTGCAACGAATGCAAGAAATAAGACAGCGCCGTCGTCAGCAGATGCAACAACACCAGCAGCAGCGAGAGCAGCAGCAACAGCAGCGGCAGCTGCGCGAGGAGTCTCTGGCCACGTGCAGTCGCACAGCTGGCGGCGTTGAGAATTTGAACGCTGCGCCCGCAGCTGCTGCCACAGCCACTGTTTCGGCATCGCTGCTGCCACGCCCCAATTCGGCCAGCGATTACGAGGAAAGACGACGTCAGCGTCCTGCGGGCACCTCATTTGCCTTCTACAGCGGCGCCCTGGCGGATCGTGTGGCCATCACGGATCACAACTACAGCAGCTATGATCATACGTCGTCGACCATGGGGCCGATTATAAATCTCAGAAGTCTATTGCCCACGCGTTGTCCCGGTTTGGAGGCCGAGGCAGCAGCGGCGCATTCGCAGCGCTATTTCCAGCCGATTACGCCGCCGCCCATGTGGCATTTTGGACCGTTGCCGGAGGGACAACCGCCGCCGCAGCCACCGCCGCCAGCGCCAAGTGGTAATGCGGGCTCCTATGTGCAGCATACATCAGCGGGTCCGGTTATTGCAACGCCAGTGGCGCCGCCAACAGAAGGAGCTGTGCCCAGTGGACGCAGCAGTCCCGCCGCCTATTATCATCGCTATCAGCCCTACTATGTGCCGCACTATACGATCACAGCACTGCCGGCGAGTCGCAACAATGGTGATTACTCGCCCGGACCACCAAATCCTCATTATCAGGGCGGATTGGGCAATGCCACGGGCAGCAGTCGCAGCTCACTGAGTGGTGCCATGAGCGCTGCAGCGGTGGCCGCCACGGTGGCTGCCGCTCAAGCGCAATCATTTCACGATCTGCTCTCACTGGCAAATGTGCCCAGCTCGCCGGTCAACAGCATGGAGAGCAGCAGTCTCGAGGATGATTATCATCATCGCAGCCAAACGATGAACATACTCAATCGGTCCACAACACCCGTGGCAGCGGCTGCTGCTGTGGCCACGGCCGCTGGTCCGCCGCCAGTTATGTCCTCCATAGTAACCGTAGCGGCTGCAGTGTCGCCGCCACCGCCGCTGGAGATGTATTCGGGTCGCACAACCATGCAGTATTGCGGTTCGCCGCCATTTAGTCTACGCCGCTCGGATGCACAATATCATAATCATCGGCAGCACTATCAGCCGCAGCCGCATCAGGGCCATCAGGCGCCACAGAATCAAATGCATGCGCACATTCATCCACCGCATCGTGCGAGCGCGATTGTGGCGACATCATTGACACCGGCGCCTCCGTATCCAGTGCATCAGAATCTGTGGTATCGACAGCAGAGCATGCAGGAGCTGCATCGCCGTCATATGACGCCCACGCCTATTGATCTCTCTTCGAATCCATTGAATCTGACGAGCAGCCTGCGCACACGATATTTGCACAGTATTTGCAATTGTGTACATGCACGCAATGGACCTGTCTCCAGTCTAGATCCTGCCTATTATCCGGCCTATGATGCAGCTGTGCAGCAGCAGCAAACATCCGCAGCCGCGGGACCCATTGATGCGCATCAGCCACCGTCACAATTGGGTCTACAATATCAGCAACAGCAGCAGCAGCAACAGCAGCAACAACAGCAGCAACAACAACAACAGCAGCAACAACAGATGCAGCAGCAACAACAACAGCAGCAGCAGCAACAACAGCAGCAGCAGCAGCAGCTGCAACATCAACAGCAGCGGCGTCGCGCCGCTGTCCATCATCACATGTTCCATCATTACTCGCCGCTACACCTCGAGATTGGGCTAGCCACGCCGCTCTCGCTCGGCTCGTCACGCATACTCATTGGACCGCCGCGTCCCAATCGTGGCGCCACCTTGGTAAGTACTTGGATTTCACGGCCTGATATATTTAATACTAATTATATTCCCAATCGCAGGAGATTATTGAGCGCAATACGTTGCCGCATAAATATCGCCGAGTTCGTCGACCCAGCGAAACGGACGAGGATGCAGAAAAGTGCGCCATATGCTTGTCGCTCTTTGAGATTGAGAATGATGTGCGGTTAGTAGCAGCATGTCGGTTATTCTTATGCCACTTAGTACATTTATATACATATCATCTGCCTTTCAGTCGTTTGCCCTGTATGCATCTATTTCACACGGACTGCGTGGATCAATGGCTGGTCACCAATAAACACTGTCCCATTTGTCGCGTAGATATCGAGACGCATATGGCCAAGGATGCGCTGGTGCCCAGCTCCAGCGGGGTTGCAGCAGCTGCCGCGGCTGCCGCTGCTGCTGGAACCGCCGCTTTATGACATTGTGTACATGGCATTTTCATGTAAAGCGACAACAAACGAAAACACAAAAAACAAACGGCTCTCAATCCACTGCAAAACACTAAAAAGGAGACACAACTTTTCAGACTGAGTTCGTCATGTTAAACATTCATGTCGGGGCCAAGCAGGCAGAGTAACAGTAACAACAACAACCACAATAACAAAAATTATATGTTTACAAAAAAACAATAATATTGGCATGTCCGGGCTGTGCACACTACTATGGTGCGACCTGAAGCAACAATTTTGTTGGTGTTGTTGCAGCTGATGCCGGCTGCCCCCATTTGGACGCACTATGGGGCAATGCATCTATTAACGCTAAATTTCCTGAGTTCGTCATGCAGGGGCCAGGCCGGCAGCGACAATGAAAATTCTCTTCAAATTCGTTTCAAACACAAAAAAAAAAAAAAAAAAAAAAAATTACAAAAAGAAACTTAAAGAAAACATCGTCAAACGTCAGCCAGTTGGAACTGTGAACCCACCAAAACAGGCGAAAGCAGGTGTACAAAATTTGCTGCGTTGCGTTAAATTAAAAACAAAAACAAAACTACAAAAAAAAAAGAAAACAAAACAAAAAACAATCGAAAGCAAAAAACTTTGGCTCAAACTCTACGTACATACATATATTATTATTATATATAAAAATTGATTGATAGGTGGTTTCTTTTTTTTTTGGCATATGGCATATTCGATGGTGAATCATATTTCCTATATTATAAAATTATGTCCATGTTTTGTGAAACGAAATTCTTGTGATTTACACCCACACATATATATGTACTACGTATTGTTAAAGTGTGAATGTCGCCTCCCCATGGTTAATAATTATTCAAAATGTACCAAACTGTAATTGTTATTGTATGACCCTAGCCGTGACCACTTCCCCTCTTTCCCATATTTTACAATTTGTCAATTACAATACAATTATAAAGTGTGTGGTACTATCGAAAAACGACAAACAAAAACATTCAATTCAAATGCATTTTAATCCTATCTATTGAATTCTATTTGTTGCCATATTTATAATTGATTTTCTGGTTAATCTAATCTGATCTGAAGCGTTGCGTGGTGCTTACAGCCACAAAAAACTAATTTTAATTTACGATTAAGTTTTTTCTGGGTAAACCCAAAAACAAAATCCAATTCAAAGTTGGTCGCAGGATACTAAACATTATATTATATTGATAAACATGAATTGCAAATCAAATACATATATTCAATATTACATTTTATACATATATTTCATTTTTGAAATATCGAACTCATTTTCCTCAGATATGGACCCGAATAAAAATCTGCACCAAAAATAGGATTCGCCTCTAGGAACGCTTCCAGCTCAACAGGATAACTACTGGGGCATATACGATACGCATATCTAGGCTAACATGCTAGATACTTGGATGGAGCTGTTTAGTTTGGTAGCCCCCATTTATATTATATTATATTAATGCCATGTATTTAGGTACATGCTAACTTTTATTAAGCTTTTACAGCACAAAGACTTAAAAACTACAGCTAAAAATTGTTAAATGTTTAACAATGATATATATATATAATGCCAAGCTACAGATTTTGTATGACTGAGATAGATACATCCTATATCTAGGTTACATTACTGGGTCCAGCTGCTGTATCGTTTCCACCATCATTGTCGTCACCGTCCTGCTCCTTGGTCATATCGGCAAAGAAGTCCGAGGCATTTGTGCACTTGGATGAGGGCAAATTGTGACGTTTCTCCTTGTAGGCATTGTGCTTCTCATTGTACTTGATGTCGCCAAAGTCCTCGAAATATTTTACATTCCAAAAGCGCACGTCGTTGTTGTGTGACGAGGATGCCAACAGTTCACCGCTGCAATTGATATCCAGCGATTCGATGGGCATATTATGCTGACCAACAACGCCCAGATTGCGGTAGGGAGCAATGTGACAGGCACGAATGTTACCATCCTCACCAGCCACGCACGCAATCCTGTCCGTAATGGGTACCATCAGACTTATGGGGCTCTTGATGCCCGGATACATATCGCAATGATAGCCAAAATAGCCCCAATTGTATGTATAAAGGCGTCCTTTAGAGGTGCCCGCCACCAGCTTGGAGCTGCCACGATAAATGCCCATGCAGTTGAGCTCCTCCTCGTACGGCTCCGATTGTACATATAATTTACGGGCACCGATATTGTAGGTGGTTAAATAGCCATCGGCACTGGTCGCCAACAGCAGCTTTTTCTGTTCGTTGGTAAGCATTTGGGTAATCTGATCCTCCACCTCCTTCAACTCGAATATGGCGTCTTTGGTGCGAAAATCCCAAAGCTTAACGGTGCCGGCATCATCCCCAGTGGCAAATAGACGCTCGTCGAGCACATGCAGCTTATTGATGGCATCATCGTGTGCCGTCTCGTATAGCTTCTTGAGCTTCTCCGTTTCCATGTCGGTGACCATGACGCACTTGTCCTTGGAACATGTAATCAAACTGCGTCCATCCTCCGTGAACTCGACATCGCGACAGGCCTTGGCATGCACCTCAATGGTGCGCAACAGTTTATTCTCCTCGATGCCATACTCGTACAGATGCACATCACCAATTATGGTCGCCAGAGCGATGATATCGCGCTCTGGATGGAAGCAAATGTCTGTGATGAAATCCTCTAGTTTGATTTCTGGCGGTGCACTGCGCGGCTTCTTTATAGCTGCTATAATGGCACGCACTGTCTCATCGGTTTCATCATCGTCATCCAAATGTGAGTAATCAGCACCTCCACTGGCGCCCGAGCCACTTGGTCCCCCTCCATCTGTTGCCGTTTGCTCCTTGCGCCTCTTGGCACTGCTCGCTCCACCAGCTGCAGCCTCATCTATCATTGAATCATCGGAGTCTGTGGCCTCCGCATTTGGATCGAAGCTGCCATCGCTGCTGATGCTCTCATCCGAGCTGCTGTGGCCGTCAGCTTGTTGCGGCTCTGGTGCGCCCATGTCCACCAAATCGTATTCGTCGTCATCGCTCTCGGATTCGTTGAGCACCTCCTGTTCAATTTCAGCTATTACACCAACTACCATATCGTCATCAATGTCATCGAGCTCGTCTTCATTCGCTGGCGCCTTGAAATGCTCATGCCTGTCCATCAATTCGATATCGGTCTGTTTGATATATGTTGACTTACTCGATAAAGAAATAAATACTTACGTATGCATAGTAGGAATGACCTAAAATCAGATTTTTTCTCGTTTTATTGGACAGAACACGCTTTTTTTCGCCAGAACCAAGAACCAAGAGTAGCAAGAGGAAGCATGACACACAACAAAACACATGCCTGGCGCACAGCTGATGGCATGGCAACAACAACAACAACTACTCAAGAACATTTGCAGTTAATGCGCCGAAACACCCTGTGGCCAAAAATTGAATGTGCCCAACAGAGCTCGATGACTTTTATCGAGGCTATAATATTAATGGTATCTTAACAATGTTTAAGGCTTGTTTTTGGTTATTTAATATTTTATGTAGTACTTAAATTATATGTACACGATTCGGCTGCATCTCTGCGTTTTGCCTTGCCTAATTTTTTGCATACAGGTTATTTAAGAAAAAAAAAAAAAAATTAGAACGAATGCAGTGCTGCCAGACAGTCGATAAAACATTATTTCAATTGCCGTCAACCTCTAGCAATGGTGTTATGAAAAACCTGACATACATCTCCTCCTGGTCATCGCACTGCATCATGAAATGCATCTCTAGCAAACCGCTGGCATCCGTTTTAATGGCCACCTTTGAGGCCACCTGCATTGCTTTGTTGGTTAGCTTGATTTGCTGGCTTTTGTAACGAGCCACCGTTGTCTCACGACAATTAAATAATATTATCATATCACTGGACTTGGCCACTTCCACGCTGGACTCTGCCTGCATGACGCCCAACGTGGTGATCTTAAAGTGTGGTTTTAACGGCGAAATAGTAAACTCATACTCATCAGCCGCCTTGTCAAGCTCATGAAAGATATTGGACAAATCTGGACCACGCATAAATATGGTATTTAAGCTTGAACTGTTTAAATCCAGCTCATACTCCATGGGCTCCTCCACGTTCGTAGTTTTAATGGAGCATTCTGTGCTGACCTGTTCGTCATCGTGCGGTTCCAGCAGCAGCAGCAGGGGTGCGCCTTCGCCCTTATACAAAATTTTGATGCTACAGTCGGACAGGCCAAACAGACTCAGGCACTCGGCCAGTACATTGATCTTCACACTGAAGCTTGGCGCGCCGTCGACCTTGAACTCGGCAAAGAAAGCGGGCGCTATAAATAATGTGGCCTGTATGGATTTGCCCTGCTCCACGGTAATGAGTAGCCCATCTTCACTAGCTTGCAGCGTGCCAAACTGTAAAAAGGTTATTGATTAATGACAGTTGAATTGTTCAAATTCTAATATAGTTTGTTTACATCACTGAAACAGATTGCTTTAATGGATGAGTAGAAGGTCTTTATGTGCTCCAAACGGCACACCAGCTTGTAATTCTCATACTGTGATTGCGTTAACATTCTGCGATTTTTAATGATACCCTTCTCGTACAGCAGCTTCGAGTGCTGCATCAATCCTCATAGAAATCGTTGTGGAAATATCTGAACTGCTCCAGCGTCAAGATCTGTGCCCGTGGCTCTAGATTTATAAGCCAATGCAAACGTTGTGCCAACACGTGCTCACAGGTGAACGAAACTCGATTGCTGTTGTTGATGTCTAGCTCCTGCTGCCCCTCCTCCTCATCCTCCCCCTCCTTGTCTGTTAATTGTAACACACAACGCTGGAAATAGGGGCACTTGCAATAATTTACACCTGGTACGACGCGCACAACATGCGCAAAGTTTCGCTTGCTGGTCAATTCCGCTATGCTCCGTAAGCGATCAGCTGTGTAGTAGATAATGAAGCTCCACTCATCCAGCAGACGTAGTGCCCGCTCTAGAAGATCCTCGCCCAACAAGGCGCTCAACTCTATAAACAACTGAGCGCGTTCAGCTGTAATAAACGTATCCGTTATTATTGTCTTATTTATATAAATCACCGCAAGGACTACCTGTAGTTAAGATTGTACCATTAGCACGTTTGTACTTAATAAAAACCTGCTGCACTAAGCCGGGTAAAAACAAATCTCCCGCGTAAATTAATTTATCATTATCAAGCGCCATTTACATATCTAAAAATTGCACGTTCGTCAAATTAGCGGCGGCGACTTAGCGTCGATTTTTTGGTACTTGGTATCGGAAAAGGAATCGGTCACTTTTAAATGCATTTATTTATGTTTTTAAGCACGAAACCAAATAAATTTAATAGTAGAAGTGTAAAAAATGAAATTAATTACTGTCTACATTTCTTTGTTTCGGAATTTTAGCTTATCATATGGGAAACCAAGGGGCTGAAAAATTAGATTTTCACCATTCTTTAAATATCTTGTTTCACGGTTAATGGCCCCGAAAACCTCGTAAACACGATTAAAGCCTTTAGTTTCACCTAGCCAATCTTGAAAAAATTATAAAAATCGATCAGCACGTTTTTATGATATTTGTACTACAGTGCAGCAACCATTCAAAATGACCTAAAAAAATTTGAATCGCAATTGAACCATAATATCTTTTCTCATGGATAATGGTTCTCAATGAACGCTATACTTATTTGAAGATACATCTTTCAGGAAGCCTAACGTATTAGTTCTAAACAAATTGATTAACCAGTTTTTTGAAAGAAATGAAGACTTGAAAATAATTGTCACTTTGCAATGAAAAATTATCTTTGATAAAGTATAATGCTGCCAAATAAGGCATTTAAGAATTTATACACAGTATTATAACAAAAGGGTGGCAATATTTTAACCTATATTTATTTTTTGCTCTGATAATGGCCCTTAATGCCCGGCTTTATTTGTTTTTGTGAAAATAAATGCATTTAAAAGTGAGCGATTCCTTTTCCGATACCAAGTACCAAAAATCGACGCTATGTCTCCGCCGCTAATTTGACGCACTCGTGACTATCGCTCCTCCACAGCGGCTGTGAAGGAACCGATATATAATGCTAGACATCAGCTGTTCTGTTGTCGTAGTGACTCGTTATCATTTATTAATGACTGATAGTTAGAACCAGTTCATTAGGGAAGTATTTTTCGCTCGCTCACTCATCGGCTAAGCCAACACTAGCTCACTGTCAAAATCGTTTGTTTGCGTGTACTCGATTTCGCCGCGTACGGCATTTCCAGCATTTTTACATATTAAATATTAGTTTAAGTACTTTATTGTTATTGTTAGAAGAAAGACAGGATGATGCACACACTGATCTTCGTTGTTTTAGCGGTAATCAGCAGTCTACCCAATAACAATGGTGCGTATTTTGCAGTAGCGGCGTCGCCGTTTATGTGGTGTGCTGTGATTGGCCACGCAGCTCTTGCCGCCCTACAAATATCAATTATACGATTCCTATCAATAATAACAAATACTCCCCCAGCTGTTCAGACTAACTATGTGACATGTGGCTCCATATTGAAATTGCTCAATTCGGATTATGCGTATCGACTGCACTCCCATGATGTGAAGTATGGCTCCGGATCTGGTCAACAATCGGTGACGGGTGTTGAACAGAAGGAGGATGTCAACAGCCACTGGGTGGTCAAGGCGCAAACCAAGAAGCTGTGTGAGCGCGGTGAGCCTATTGCTTGTGGTGCGACCATAAGGTTGGAACATTTAACCACCAAAAAAAACCTCCATTCGCATCACTTCTCATCGCCGCTCTCCGGCGAGCAAGAGGTGTCCGCATATGGCGTCGATGGTGTCGGCGACACCGGTGATAATTGGGAGATCGTTTGCTCCAACGACAGCTGGATGCGAGATGCACACGTAAGACTGCGCCACGTTGACACTGGCATGTATCTGGGCATGTCGGGAAGGTCTTATGGCCGTCCCATTTCTGGCCAAATGGAAATCGTGGGTCTGCACAGTCCGCAACATGGAACACGTTGGGCTACCTCTGAAGGCCTCTATATCGTTCCAAAGGATAAGGACTCGACGCACGCGGAATACGCTCACACGGAACTGTAGTTACAGACCAGGATAAGCTTTTTACGATTAGTTGATTACCTATAATTTAGCTGAATTTATGTAAAGCGAACCAGTTTGTTTGCATTAAAAAAGAACAAGTAAATTGGCGTTGTTTAACACTGCCCCAGCAGACGTTGCTTATTTAGTATATATTGTGGTTTCGTCGCGTTAGGCGCGTCTTTACAGCCTTTCTCGTGAAAGTCAAGTACATTTATTTATTCGTTTTTTATTTACACATTTCGTGTAATTGAGTTGCGAGTATTACGGCCGAACGTGAAACATATCTACTTTTGGTGAACTAAGCATTATCATGTACGTACGCATTATATTAAGGCATATAAATATGTACGTATGTATGTATGTATGTATATGCATACGTGTTTTAGCGCGCGCTTTTATACATACATTTTTATATTACGGTTTCGCCAGCTGTAAGCCCTTAACAGTTTATTTTTGCACTTTCCACAATATTTTCTTAATGGCTAGCAGCTAGCAGCTAGTTGCCGTTATAAACAATAATTATATTCATACAACCATTTATATATTTACATGCGAATATGATTAATAGTTTTTAAATGCGAATTAGATTTGCAACAGCGTTAAATACCCTGTAACATGCAGTTAAATAAGATATTGAAAGTTAAATCATTGGAGACTTCTGTAAATATTTTTATTTGTCTGCTTCTTTTTTTTTTAGTTTGTGTCATTTAATTTTTTTGCAAAAAGCAAGGAGTTTGGTGGTGAGAACTATTATTAAAACTGAGATATAAAATCTACAATGTGTTGAGGTTTGTTTACTATTGAATTGTTGCATTTGCATGCACAAAACAATGGAGGTTTGTTCTGAGTACATATGTATATGTATATGTATGTATATGTATGTATGGAAATTCATGCTCATTAGCTGGATGGTTTATTGTTTGTTTCTTTTGTTTAGAGCTTAGTCAATGCTTTGTGTGCCCATCCTGTCAGTCAGTAAGCTTAGTAAGGTCAAATGCAGCAGTATCACCCCCAGCTATGAACACTTTTACATATTTCTCATAATCGCGTTGTCCTTGTAACCATTTAAGCGTAAATTGCTAACAACCAGAAAGAATTGTGTTATCTGTTTCTTAGTGAGTGGACTGTATCTCTTAAAAAGGCTTAAATCGTACCCTATCTTAGGACTATATTAAAGGGTTAAAGATCATCTCTTCGGATACTGTTAAATTACACCCAAAACTTAAAAGCAGCTTGTGCTGCATTTTGTTTACTGCTGCCGCTGTTAGCCTTAACTGTTGTAACTACAATGGCCAAAACATCCGTTTAGCTTTATCGATTCTTGTTTATCAGTGGGCCGGACCAGTCTTCACAGCTAAATGACTGACTAACTGACAGATTGACGTACGCTTTCTTTAAAAGTTTGTTGCTTTATGTGTGTGTTACACAATATTATAATATAAGGCATGTGTGTGGGCGTGACTTCATCTATATATATCGTTCTCTTTGTGGCATACACCCACACACACGGACACAAACTTTACTCGCACGCACGACTGCATGGCTGAGCAATAAAAATTGTTGCCTGCTTTTGAGCGTTTGCTCGTTTTTAAAGCATACATAAATAAAAATAAAGTCGGCAAAATATTCAAACAATTTTTACAACTAGCCGGTTTAATAAAATGTCAGCTTCAGCATGATAAACTAGTGCACCCATATACACATATATTTCGAAGGCCTATCTAAATTTATTAACCTCTCCCAAGGCTAATGAGAATCGAGTGCCCGACGACCTGCTGCTTATTCTTGCAGCAGGTGCAATTGAGCTTAGCTCCCAGCTAGGCAAAGCCACCCTTTCAAAAAGTAGTAGTAGTAATTTTAATTAGGACGGCTACGCGCTAAGACAACAACTACAATTATACAATTATACATACCGGCAATCGAGGTCAAACAGAGAAATTCCTTCGCAAAGACCAGCAAAACGGTTATAAAACAAAATCTCATGCAACCGCACATGTGTTGTGCCTTAAACCTCCAGAATTGACATTGCAAGTGTTTCAAAATTTCAAGCAGAAACAAACCATTCAAAAATACATGGTACGTTAAATGGAATCCCGGTTCGGTTTAAAGAATTATTTTCAATATAATTGCTTTTTCGGCTGATATATTTTTGGTTTAAAGGCAAGTATATTTCTATAAAAATTAACTTATTTACCAATTTTAAAAGCCGTTGGAGCTGTCTAGACAAACTAAAATGATAGTTCCATTAATTATATTTATAGCTCGCAAAATCATTAAATTAATTTCGAGCTATTTGACGTATAATGCACAAAGTCTAGAGACATATGTATATAATTAATAATTTCGCTTCGCTGACTGCGTGAGGGTCAGGTTCTACGATTTGCCATCCATTCACGTAGGCGTAGGCTCCGGAGATTTAGTGCGCTTGGCCTTCTTTTTCTTTTCCCTGTCCTTTTGACTGTCGTCGGTGACGCAGCTCTCTCATCGCACTTAACATTGAAAACCGAAAACAAGCCCCTAAGTGGGCCGAAAAGGCCTGTCAACAACAACAACAACAACAACAACAACAACAACAACAACGGTAACTGCCGACGCCGCGCTCACTGAGAGTGCGCATCACAATACCCATTCCCAAGCTCAATTCGAGAGAACAGACAGTCAGAGAAAGAAACAGTTAAAGCACGTTGTAGACATACACACACATGCGTACATGTATGTTATATGCACATGTCGAATGTTGATAGTGAAAGTTCTCAGCAACTACAACAAAAATCAGTCTGTGTCTTTAAAGTTTACATGGGACTATAAGTTACAGCGAAAGCAAAAGTTTTCACACTTAAAACAATGCTCTTTCATATAAATAAAATTTGGAGATTATAAATTAAAAATATAATGTAATTTACAGAAAATATTCAATGAGATTATTGATATTTTATTTTGAAATAATAATTAAAAGGTTAGTTAAACTAAATAGCACAATTGTACCATTTAAGAAATATTGCAGTTGAAAATGTGGAAACTTTATAAGCTAGATTAAACATTCTTTTTATAGCAATAATATTGTTATGACTTTGCAAAAGCGGCATTTTAAAGATTTCTTTAACAGCAGCTGTTACAGTTAACAGATACAATAAGTAAGCGCGCTTGCCCTTGTCTATCTATCCAGTCCTCCTTCTGGCTCTCTCATTCCGTTTGCCTCTCTTTTAGCAGCCACGCAAATACCGTTAACACAGTACATCGTGAACAGTTGAGCGTGCAAGTTTAAGCTAACGAAACCGTGCAGTATAAAAAGCGCAAAAGAAACTGAATACAATTAAAACAAAAACATTTTGAAATAAAAAAAAAAAAATTCCATAAAAATGGCTGACACGGAAGAATAAACTTGAAAAATGTTCTATTATACATAACTTTCAATTTAGTGAAACATTTCTTACGCATATTGACGCGACTTGACGTTGTGTTATATAAATCTCAGCGAACATACACATACATATGTAAGTGCGTGTGTATTTGTGTGTGCGTATGGCGCGTGACTATGTATGTTTGCGCCCCTACAAATAGATATTGTGCGGTTCATTTTGTAGTGTCAATTAAAACAGATTAAGAATATTACGCATACGCAGTGTTGTCAGCATACAAAAAAAAAACATAAGATAAGCCAACAGATCAAAATAATGTAAGTTAGTTTAAATATATATTTGTTTTTAATATTGTTAAAAATAATTATAAGCCCCATACGAACTAAAATATGTATTTCTTGAATTTATAAATTATTTTAATTTGCTTACATTAATTGTCGCCTAGCATTGAAACTTGTGCGTATGTTGCATTTTAATTTCAGTTCATTTCATTCCATCTATATTTGTAAGAATTTCCACAACAGTTATTGATTATCAGTCCGTAAAACGCTGACCAGTCGTACCCATCCCACCTGTACCCATCCTACCTGTTATTGAGGCCCTTTCAGTCACGTCTTGTGCCCATTGTAGTTGAGTTAATTACTTATTCATTTTAATAACCGCACACTTTACGTTTTTTGCTTTCATGTTGTTCATTTTGAATATTCGAGAATTTTTTCATTTATAAATCCGCTCTTCTTGTTTGACAAGAATCTTTGAACCTTGCTTTAAAACTTCGTTTTCCACAAAAACATGTAAACATTCGCAAATCGTAGTTCTTGAATTTTCCTAATGCTAGTATTTGGCCCAAAAATGTGATTCCTTCGTTTTCTTTTTCTTTTATTTTCGATTACAAGCAGCTGCTTTTTTATTTCTGGTACATAATGCTTTCTTGTTGTCATCTGGCTTCCCACTGCCACGCCATATTTCCTGGCAAAACGCATGTCCTTCAGGGCTGCTATCCTAGTACATGCTTTGTTATCCTACCATTGTTACGCTCGTATTGTTTGTTTGTCTCCTGGTAAGTGTGCTCGTGTATTCGGCCAGGCGCAAGTAAATGGGAAAGTTGCCGTCAATTTCGGGACATTTTGCTGGCAGCTTGGCTGAGCTGTCGCCGTTTCATTTGTTGTGCCGTTTATTATTGTTATTGCTTTTGGCTTCTTTTTGCTTCTTTTTTTTTACTGTTATTGTTGTTATTGCTTTCGAGAATTTCAACTTGAAGTATTTTAGCCGTTTTCTGGTCCGTTAGGAAAAGCGCATGTGGAAAATAAAATACGAAAAATATATAAAAGGAGAGTAGCTTACGGTGAAGTGCCTGCAGATGGACATCGTTTACTGATGTCCTGTTTAAGTAAATGTTCGGGGAAACGGTCTATCACTTTTATGCGGACTATCTGTTCCGAAAACTTTTATTTAGAGTTTAGTAAAATAATAAATAATAATAATTCAGATTTCCGTTACCTCGATTTGATTAGCTCATTTATTTAATTTCTGTCTTTTTCTTAGTCCGTGGGTAATGTAAAGTTTAGTTAAGTTGGCGTGTTTTTATTTGATATTCTCCGGTCTCCCGTTCGGATTCAATGTGCCAGCATACATACATTTTCAAATGTGACGCCGGGCATTTGTCATGCAAACAAAAAAATGAGAAAAGTAGTTGAATAAATTGCCAAATCTAATAGAAAATTGGTTGATATTCTCAAGCCGCGTCCTCAGGCCTATTTGGAACTCAATTATAAATGTTGCTTCCATATTTACCTAGCTAACAGGGCATTCACATTGACACTAACAGCGCTAACAGCCAACAGTTAGGGTTAACAGCGTGCGCATGAACGAAATTGAGAGCGATAACGGCATCAACTGTAAACGGCTGCTCAGCTGATTCTGACTACGTTGCGAGCTTTGTCCTTGACAAGGTTTTGTTTTACCAACAATATTCTTTTTTTACGTTTCGTATTTGTGTTGCCGTTGCGTGAAAGAGAACGCTCAACTGAGCAACTGAGAGTTTGTGCGCCTAAAACAGAGAAAGAACGTGAGAGAGAGAGAGAGAGAGAGAGGCGCAGCTTGGCCATTTGATGCGCGGCATTCATTCAGCAACAACAAAAAAAAAAGAAAACACAATAATTTTTTCCTGCCCAGGCGAAAACATTTTGCGTGGGTGTTGTGTTGTGTTGCCTTTTGTCTGTGTAAGTTTTGTGTGCGTGTGTGTGTGTGTGTCTGTAAATTTGTAGGGGGCTTCTATTCGCGTGCAAATCTCGCACACGATTTGTGAGCCATTCCAATTGCTTGACAGTTTTGAGACAGCCCACAGAGCCGACCAAACTTTCACTTTTAACCATTGATTGCGGCATTGTGGAGCATACGGACCTCGTTTATTGCTTGGGGTTGGACTCGCACAGTGGGAATTCCAATTGCATATATTCAAGCCCAGGCCGCAACTTTAATTGTCGACAAGGTAATTGGTTGCAAGGTCATTTTCATTTCAATTGCCGCACTCGGCTCCTCCCAACCTGACAACTTATTCTTGGCGGCATCGACTACTCTCCCATAATATTTTGCAATCCTCTGGTGTTTGTACTGTATGTACTGCCCTTACGGGTAAAGTAATTAAAGCGTTGATAAATTACTGACTGTGTTAACTGTATGTCATGAAAAAGTCCCAACAAGCAGGTGTGTTACGTGAACTATTTAACTTGCCTGCACTTATTGGAGACTATTAGCTTGACCTCAAAGTTTCTAAGCTTTTAAAATTTTAATAACAAAATTTTTAAGTTTTACTGTACCTTTTTTGTTGTTGTTTAATAACTTACCTGTACTTATTGGGGACCATTAGCTTGACCTCAAAGTTCCCGAGCTTTAATATGTTTTCAACCAACCTTAATCAGTTGGTAAGAAGCTTTTGCTTATTAGTTGCAAGGGAACTTACTACAAACAGTTGTCTAATTACTTAGATGGAGTGCACTTATGATTTCAGCTCAAACGTCGCAATACTTAAATCATTCAGTGCATGTGTGTACCTACTCACTACTCCTACTACCTAACGGCACACATACTAACGGCACTTGTTAGCTACTTTGCCGTAGTTGTGCAACAACAACGAGAACCCAACGCTTGTTAAATGCGTATACGGCAAGCCCGGAATGGCGGGAGCGAGAGAAATTTAGAGACTTAAGCCCACTGTTAAGTCCGCTTGTAAAATTTACTGTTGGCATTATACACACACAGATTTAGTGTACAGACTGCAATTATTGACAGAAGCCACAAATGCAAATGCAAGTTCCGAGTACAATTAAAAGCGTCTTAAGTGCAACTTATAATCACAGTCATTCAGTTTGCCATTAATTCAACCAACAAATAATCCTTGCAGTCGGTGTGCCTAAGTCCCTATCATTAAATACACGAAATTGTATTATTATTATTAATATAATATTTAATTTAATTAACAGTTTAAATTTGGGAGAATCGAATTCGTAGGATTTTAAATGCGTAAAAGCTTTAATTTAACGCTATCGTTGCACAAGTTGCAGTCATTCGAGATTTACTACCGTCTCGTACGCCCAGTGAAGCGATTTAACTGCAGAGTTTAATGTCCGTTTCTATATTTTATGTGCCTTGTGAAATTGACTCCATTTATGCATAAATTACATTCACGCAGAGTAGCACTTTGTCGCCCCGTACATTTGGTGCAATGCTTGTTGCTGGATTTTTCGATTTTCCGCTCTGCCAGTTGCATTACACGAATGCTCCGTGGTTGCCCCGTCGGTCATTGTCAACGGACGGTCGTGTAAAATTTGTGAATGTAATTTGCATTTGACCATGCACTGGACACAGCTCGCTCGGAATGGGCGCTGGTTTGGCCGAGTGGGGTAACTAACTAAATGTTCCCCTAATGGTGCCAATTTGACAACAAATGCATTGCCACACCCCCGCATGCAAAAGGGAACTTAATTGGGGCAAATGAGTTGAGTTTATGCGCTAAGGCTTAGGCTTAAGCAGCTTTAATCAGCTTTGGCTGCCAGAAAGTGCAGTTGGAACAGTTTGCGCAGCACAAATATTTGCTCACTGCCAACTCAAGGATATCCTTGATGTTTGCACAGCAAAAGCTTGTACATAAGTAACAACAGAAAAAAAAGGACTAGAGCGAAAATGCATCCGGCAATTATGAATGAAAAGGGCAAAACTGCGACAGGCAACAAGAGAGGTGCCAGGAAACATTACAGAGCTCAGCGGAGGCGGAAATTATGCACACAGTATAACTGTGTGTGTGTGTGTGTGTCTGTATATGTATGTGTGACCACAGTATGCCCGAAACTTAAATGCTGCGACTGAAAAGGCTTAAAGTTCGACGCCATATTATGTAAAGCTTGCTGTCTCTTTCTGCCATTTCTCGCACTCTTCGCACTCACGCTGGGTTTTACGACCTCGCTTAAGTGCATAGCCTTCAAAATTGTTGTGCGAGTAGACGCGTGCAAGGACATTGGATCTTGCTTTCGATGCTTTGGCAGGCAGCATTCATTACTCAACACTGTCGAGACATTAATGCAAGCGCACATATTAAAAGCACACATACACACACGCGCACAGCTTAAAGTTCGTCGCACATTTACTACCGCAAAAACACGGATCCTACAACTACAGCTACATTGGTTCTGGCAGTATTAGAAAACGCTGCTAGGGATTAAAATAATACTAGCGGGTATAACCCGGCCTTGCCCGTGGCACGTACATATGTTATAAAATCAATGTTCTCAAAAAAATATGAAATGATTTTTAAACTGATCGGACGGTAAACAAATAACTTTCATACAACCGTTTTCCGCCAATTTACCACTGTTGCGGGTGGAATTTCCCAAATCGCTGAAATACGTATTTATTAAGTTCTTATGTAGAGCTTTAAAAATAAGTTTGAAGCAAATCGGACACAACTTAAAACGCCGCCCAAAAAATCTTTAAATCGCATTGCCCCCGAAGAAGTTTGAATTCTGCGAAAAGTGTGAAACACGTATCAAATGATTTTTCTTATAGATCTCTGGAAATGAATTTGAGCGCGAAACGTCACCCACCAAATCTTTGACCTCCATTTCCACCAAGGAGGAACGGATTTTCCTAAAAGTGTGAAACACTTTTTGATCACGTTGATCACCAATCAGTCAGTCAGTCAGTCAGTCAGTCAGGACAAACAGTTTTATATATAGAGATTAATATAAATATAAAAAATAATTAAATAACTGATAGAAATTTAAAGGCCCAACAAACTTTACTTTAAGGGAAAAGTCTTTCAATCAACCCAGCATTTTCTTAGCTGAATCGGAAAGACCTTTTATGATTCCGATTGTTAATTGATTGTTTATTCATTATAGTATTTCCTCAAATTGAACATAATTTGAATTTCAGTTTGGTGACAAGATCAATGTGACCAAACAAAATGATAAATATATATAATAGCAATAGACATAGATAAGATAAAACTAGACGGTCACACATGGTAAAAAAAAAGTAGAAACGGATCAGTTGAGAAAAGAGAAAAAAGTGTTGTAGATGGAGAAAAAACGAAATTGAAGCGATTCAAAAGAATTAATTTAAAATTGACACTGCTTGGAAAATACTTACATAAACGTAGTCTTTATTCATAAGTTACTTCCAATAAACAATCAAAATAAAAATTGTGTTTTTGAATGCCAGAATTTACAATATATATATCGGAATTTTACCATAGTTTGGGGACAACGGGAAAATGACTGGGAATTACCTACAACATGTGCATTTGTATACTTATGATGCGACATGGGATATAGCCTACATTCGAATTGCCTTAACATACATACAATTATACCCTGAACCCATTAAAAATGTTTAAAAAGGGTATAATGTATTTGTGCAAATGTATGTAACAGGCAGAAGGAAGCATCTCCGACCCCATAAGGTATATATATTGCCGAGTCGATCTAGCCATGTCCGTCTGTCTGTCCGCCTGTCTGTCCGTCCGTATGTATGAACTCAAAAATCTCAGAACCTTTAAGAGCTAGAGACTTGAAATTTGGAACGTAGGTCCTCCTAGTGCCCGCGCAGTACGAGTATGTTTCCGATTATCGATAACTTGCCCCGCTTCAAGTAATCGATAAAAATCGATATCGAAATCCTGTTTTTTCAGCAAATCTCGTAAATTATAAGAGCTAGAGTCAGCAAACTTGACATATAGCTTCTAGAATAGTATATATACATATGTATCAAGTATCTTTAATTTTATAGCTATGGCCACCTAGCTATAAATAAAGTTAATAAACTAATTTGAATTTCCCACAAATTTAAGCCACAATTTTAACTTTTTGAGAATATACAAATATTCTCGTAGCGCGAGCTGCATTTGGTGTTGGTAGAAGAAGGTTCAGGGTATCCTCTAGTCGGTAACTCCCGACTAGAGCCTCATACATGTTTTGTACAATGGCATTCCTGTTTAACTGCATCGCAAGGATATGCGAATTGCATTCGTCAATGAAATATTGGATAGCCGAGGAGGCACTCAAGCCATCAACTTGTTTCCCATACATTCTTGCCACATGGGACACGTATAGGAATCTTGGGCTCAATTGATTGCATACTTTCAGGCTGTCAGTGAAAAGAGG